GGATTGAAAGGTACTTCCTGGTAAATAAAATCAGTGGCAGTTTCCTCACCTCAGTTTAACAAAGTAAAAAAACAATAATTTTAAAGAAAACTTATCCCAGGAGCCTCCTTTGTAACTCTATGCTCCATTACAATACAAGAAGTAGTAATCTGTTTTTGCTTAAAATCTATGACGTACAAAGGTCAGTCGTTTACTGTTTAAACTCTCTGCAGCAAGACGCTGCTTCCATTTCCTCTACCATTTTCTATTTATTCCAAACACTTCACAAGTGTTGCATCTATGAACAATTCAACACTCCACCAGTCTTGGAACAACTAGATCAATACTTACTATAAATGAAAACAACTTATTAAACTGGGCTTAAGTTAGACTAAGGTATGATATAACTTTCTGACAGTGTGATAAACTTTCTCTCGTGGAAATTGATGGAATGCAGTTGTGTAGTGATATCACATTTGACGTTGGGTGCCACCCGCCGATAAATAAAAATACATTTTCCAGCTCATATAACAAATTGACCAGAAGTTTGTGTTCAGTCAAAGATGCACTGTATTTCATTTTAGGAAACAAGAGAACAAGGATGTAAAAAAACAGAAGAAACATGAGAATTTGTCCATAGTAGTAGTGAAAGAGTCAAGTTAATGTCTCTGTTTGCTCGGGTCTATCTTCTCCAAGTGAACCAGGGGCTTGAGCTGCTCAGCGAAACTGCGCATGTCCTCTGACACAGTGTCCTGACCAGCGGGCGCCAGCACACTCAGCTCCACCAGGTATGAAAGTGACAGACGCTCCGTGTTCTCTGTGTTTCCTGGTACTAGGATGCGTGACAGTTTGGTAACCACGATTTTCATTGCTCCTTTTCGAAATATGTGTCCATTCGCCACAAACTCATGGTCCATGCGGAAGCCCATCTCATTCAGGAACTCCGGCAGGCTGTGAGAAGCCGCCACGTCAACACAGTTGCGGACTAGGGCATGGCGGCTCTTGTCTCCCACCTCAGGTTGGCCCAGGTAGCGTAGGTGCCACGGAGCTGTGGGGTGGGAGAGGGAGCGCCGGGCACGCAGAATGAAGGGGTTGCCTTGTTGGCCTTTCAGAAGATAAACCAGTTCATGATCTGTGAAGGTCTCAGGCTCCATGTTGTCGCACAGACCTCGGAGGCGATGTAAGAGGCTCTCAAGGGCCTGATCTAACACACTGCCTGAATGGTTAAAGGGGAGAGAAGCATCATTCAAGCAGTTGAATGATGTAGAGATGACTTAGACTTCACAGTATGTTGTGATCATAACTGTACATTTTCACAAAAAGTCTGAAAAACTGCCACATTACAAAGGCTGGAATTCATTAAGACAGAGTTTTAAGCTGACAATGCTTGTAATATTACAGTTGCATACAACAGCCCTGCAATAAATCATCATCATCTTCATGAAGGACTTCTTATTGACAGTATTTCTGAGATTTTGTTCATGCACTTTGTATTAATGAGGACAGATTACTCTGAACATTTAGGAGAGATGATTTAGACAACGGTATAAACGTCATCAAAACAACAAATGGGGAAAAATCTTTTGGAAGGATAGTCTTCATCCATCCATCATCTATCTAAATAAAATGTTCTCGCAGCTCGTGATCTCCTAGCATCTCATTAAAGCAATTTACCCATCTATATAGAATATAACTGTTCTTACTGGTAGTGTATGCAGTGTGTATTTCTAAATAGCCTGTTTCATGCATTTAAGTGACACAGAATATTGTGTGGTTGTTAGGTATATGACAGAATGATATAGGCTTTAGATCTACCGCACTTTCCTACACTCACATACTGAAGTTACTGACATCTTAAGTTATCACATGTCATAGCACTATAGTAGTGATAAACCTTGCCACTTATCACGTATTTTCTTTGTCTCACTCAGTCCTGTAACACTGCAGTTTATAGTCTATTACTGAGATGTGTTGTCATCTGTCCTCAGCAGCAGCTGTATCTAAACTAATCTTACCTTGCAGTAGATACTCCATCATATTGATTGTGCCGCCGGTGACTGGCATCACAGTGACAGGAGGAGCCTCCATCTTTACTTAGGCACTTCTAAATCTGAAGGAAAAAGATACACATTAACTACAACAGTAGGCTACATATTAATACCTTGAACAAATTTGACCAGTTACTACTGAAATTCATGTAGATCAATGTCTCAATGCACTCATCACATTAAAATCAATATATACACATTCGATATTTAAATCAAAACTCATTGAATTTATTTATTTCACTCAATTCTCTTAAAAGTAGAAATCAAATATTTACCAACACTGTTGTGTTTGCATGATGTTTTGACCAGACATAATCTGTAGGTATATTTCATATTGTTATCTTATCATAAAATTAACCTTGATTTAATAATCTGTCCTATTTCTTTAACTGCCTTCTTCTCTGTTATGCACCCAACGAAAACACTGCACTGTTTCAATATAACACTTGTGCAATAACTCCGCTTTATGAAGAGTAATGTTTGTGTTGCATTGACATCACTTTATAAGGGACACACGGTGTATGATCAGTTTGGAGAATGCAGATAGACAATTCAGTTATTTGGCCACACTGATCCTCACTGATATGAACGGGGTGGACAAAATAATAGAACCACCTGTCTATTTAACACAATACTTTTCAACAGCTCCAGACTGCAACCTCAAAAATGTGCATAAAGTTGAATCAGCAACTCTGAACAATTACTAATTGTGCAGTATAACTCATGGAGCTTGTGTTTATTGCAGGTCTGTGGGATTAGACAGTTTAAAAGTAACTAGGTGTACCTAATAAACTGCCAACTGAAGGTGCACCTCCACCTCCTATAACAATATCAACTGAGGGTTTGTAAAAAGGAGACATGTGGGAATTTATAGCATCAACATTCGTTCTTTTAAGTTTACCAGTTACATTTGACTGCTTGAAAACTTGGAGAATACGAGTCTGTTCGGGTCACATGTTGATGCCCAGCAGCCAGTGTGGGCATGTAGCAAACCAGTGCTAAAGCTAACTCTATTAGCTATCTCACTCGTTCCATTACCTGAGAAACCCAGGAAATGCAGACGAGGAACCCCGGGTTTTGTTTCTGGTGTGTTCGTCTTCGGAGGAGTCTCCGCGGTAAAGACCGAGGCTCCAGTTGGGCCTCACCGATTCGTTCAATCAACACACGGCTAACTAGCTAGCTAGCTGCTAGCTAAGTTAGCTTTCACCAGTTAGCATCAATGCCGCTCAAATGACCGTGCTCAGCATTTCAGCCTTGAAGCATCTGAATGTGATGAAAAACACCAACAGGAGGGAAAAAGAGTCAAAGAAAAAGGAAGGAGCCAAACGACCCGATCAGAGGAAGAGAGGAGACAGATGAATGAGAAGCTTCTGTTCTTCTTCCGGTTTGCTCTGCTCAAGTTAGCAGCTTTACACACTACAGCCACCTACAGGACGGGAGTTTATTTTCCTGCCTGTGATGGAGGAAGTGACTGTCACTCTGAAATAAGAGTTTTTTTAAATAAAGGTACTCAAGTCAAGTAGCCAGAATTATAGAGATACTAGCTCAAAAATATACAGGTGCAGCAATATTTGCCCCGTACACTGTTTTAGTATCATTTCAAGCTGCATGGGTGGAAGTCAAGAGTAGAAAACCACAATATAAATACAGACCATTCACCATTTGCATCCCTAGCATCCAAACTCTCATTAAAAGCAGAGAGGGAAACTGAACAGGAATATAAGTGCTTTTCATACCTTAGATCTAGAATTATTATTTATTATAAGTCATTTAATACTGATTAACAAGCCAGCTGCCACAATTGCTGCAGCAGCTGTTTTAAACTAACACGCCTAATTCACAGTCAGTTTTAATCTATTGGAACATTCTGGTGATCGTTTGTCATGTAAATAGTAATCACTTACTTTAAGTGTTAAGTAAAATAACATTCACCACAGAACATAATTGTTACAATAATAATTCGTGAGTTGTTGCTTTTTTATATATGAAAATTGTCTGGAGAAATATTTTAATACCTAAATTGTCTTTCTTTTTAAAACCATTTGAAAGAGTTGGTGTATGAGTCTCTGGTTTTATGTTGACAAAGTATCACAGCTTGACATCCCAACAAGAAGTTAAGTCAGTATGTACATGCTGAAACATCAGTATTCTGTTATATATCAATTATATCCTTCTTAAAAGTGTATTTTTTAATACGTGGCAATATCAGTGTTGCTTATCTACAAAAGACATCAGAAGGTCTTACATTGAGTCTGACGGAAGTGGTCTGACAGCCGCTGCAGAGTGACTTCATCGGGACTTTCACCCACACCGTTTCCTGAAGGTGTTGCATTGAGTCAACTGTGTGCATTAAAATGGGTTTAACATATAGAATGTGTAACAAGTGGGACTTCTCTTGTGAATTCTATTTATTCTGTTGAGATTAAGATTCCTTTATATGTCTCACAAATCATGCAACACCATTTATGATTTTTTTGAAATAAAAAGTACTCGTGCTGTTAATACCCACCGCTAATTCTTACAAGGCTTATTTGAATTTCCACTTTCAAGCAACATTTGCGTTCCCAGAAAACTGATAACGTGATAATTTGATAATCAACACATAATCTGTCATCACATACGGGGCGATATCTTTATTATCTGTCGAGTATTTCTGAAGACAGCTGTGCCATCGATGGTCAGAGGGGGAGAGAACAGGGAGAGATTGTTGTCCTTGCACCACGTGGCCAGCAGGCTCACTCCACTGCTGTTCTTGGATTTGTAGTTCTTGCAGATGAGACCCACCCACAGCCGTGTCGTAGCAAGTTTGACGAAGTGGTTGGTCGAACTCTGAAAAGAATAAATAAAAACAGCGTCTCTGGTTCGTCGTGAGCGAGCGAGCGAGCGAGAGAGAAAGAGCGAGCGAATAAGAGCGAGAGAGCGAGAGAGAAAGAGCGAGCGAGTAAGAGCGAGAGCGCGAGAGAGAGCGAGAGAGAAAGAGCGAGTAATAAGAGCGAGAGCGCGAGAGAGAGAGCGAGATTTGTTTAGTCCTGCAGACTCCTCCTCTCACCACCTCAAATACTCGCAGCACCCAGATCAGTTTGAAGAGTTTCTCCTGCACCAGGAGTTTCTCCTCTTCCTCCTCCTCCTCCTCCTCCTCAGTATGGACTTCACCGAAGCTCTCGCGACTGTGCCCCGCGTGCATCACTTGTTGGCTGTGCTCTGTCTCGTTTATGTTGTTTATAAACTCAGTGTCCTGTTGTTGAAGAGAAAAGCTGCGTTCAGAGACACCGAGTGTTTCCCCGGACCCCCGGGACACTGGCTGTTTGGACACGTCCTTGAGGTAAAACATTCTGCAGTCTCTGTAACTCAGCTGTTAGACAGCACCCTGCACTGGGACCAGTTAATAGATGAGCCATTATCATCATTCAACAGTGGGGGGATATCACCACACATTTATGTTGTGATGTTCATCTACACTTCAGGTGCCAGTATTCCAGTGTTTGCATTTATTCTTATTCCACTATATCTGAGTGGTACTTTTTTCTCCACTAAATTTCAGTGGTCCTGGTACTGCACTATCTTTATCTGATGTGAAGTTACCTTGACCCGACATATTATTTAAAGTTACATGTTATTTAAGTGAATGAAATAATATTTTGTTCACTAAAAACATTCCTTGGATCAATAAGAAACAGTGTTTTGTTATTATAATACAAATTATATTTAAGTTAATACCTTCACCTTTTGAATGTGTACTTTTTGATACTTGTCACATTTTGTTAATAATAGTCAAGTTTAGTATTTCCTTCACTCCTGTCCACTAGAGACACACAGTTGGTAAAGATCATGACTCAAGCAAATAGAAACCGTCCTTCATAGAGGACTGGCAAACTGTGCAGGTAACATAACTGAATGTTTTATGTTTCACCTTTTGATTTTTCTTTCAGTTTAAACAAGATGGCAAGGACTTTGACCGCATGATGGAGTGGATACAGGAGTATCCATATGCTTTCCCAATGTGGTTTGGTCCTTTTACTTGTTTCCTCAGTATTCACCACCCAGATTATGCAAAAACCATACTGGCATCAACAGGTGTGTTAGCGATTGTTCTTTTTTTATGATACATCCTTACAACAGTGTGATCAAATGTGCTTTCTATAATATTCTACTGGGCCATGGGATACAATAAAAAGGTCAAAGTAACAAAACCATGTGTTTGTTTCCTAACAGAACCAAAAGATGATTTGGCGTACAGGTTTATTAAGACTTGGATAGGTAAGACTATGCTTTGTCTGTGTGTTGCATCATTACAGGTAGTCTGTTTAGATTTTAATTCACGTACACATATTCTGTCCGTTTCAGGGGACGGTTTATTGGTGTCAAAGGGTCAGAAGTGGTTTCGGCACAGACGGCTCTTGACGCGAGGTTTCCATTATGATATCTTGAAACAATACACACAGTTGATGTCAGATTCGACTCAAGTTATGTTGGTATGTAAATCACAATACGAAGTATTGAAGTAGCAAGTTTAACAAGTTAAAGGGATAGTTCACAGAAAAATTGAAATTCACCTATTATCTACCCACCAATATGCCGATGGAGGGGTGGGTGATATGTTTGATTCCACAAAACACTTCAGGGGTTAACAGTGTTCGTGCCAAAGTGACCTCTTCTTCAGATGTAATAAAGCAGAAAAAAAAACATAACATGCCATGTTTTAAGCCTAAAAGTCACTACCGGAAGTAGCGATGCAAGTGGACGTAGCGATGCGAACACACATTTTACAGTGTGTCCATAATAACATGAACGCGGCTCTGAGGAGGATATCAGAGGACATTTGGGCTTAAAACTTGGTGTAAACGACGCATTTCGAGTGTCATGCAAATGTCGGGGCTTGCAGACACTTGGATTACACCACAGGTGCAGTATGGAGGCATTTTATGTTTTTATCTGTTGTTTTTTTTACATTTGAAGAAGAGGTCCGGTATACTTCAATTGGATTGGATTTGGCTGCAACACTGTTTACCCCCTCAAAAACTTCAAAAACCCTTCCATCGGCATAGTGGCGAGTAGATAATAAGTGAATTCTCCTTTTTCGATGAACTATCCCTTAAATTAGTATATTATAGTTTTATTCCATCTCCTGCAGAGATGTCAAATCCGTTCTCTAACTGTTGCCAGGACAAATGGGAAAGTTATGGAAACTCCAATGAGACCTTTGAATTGTTTGAGCATGTGAGCCTTATGACACTGGACAACATCCTGAAATGTGCATTCAGTTACAGCAGCAACTGTCAGACTGAGAGGTGAGTCCATAAAAACTGTCCTTCCATCATTCACAGTTTAAATTCTGTGTTCTCAGTTGTTTACTGCCTCAGCTGTCTTATTCAATTGTGGAAGAAATCAAAATTTTAACATTTGCCTACATTTTCATTCCAGTGGAACAAATGCATACATCAAATCTGTGTATGAACTCAGTTCTCTGGTCAACCTGCGGTTTAGGACGTTTCCATACCACAACAACCTCATTTTCTACCTCAGCCCACACGGCTTTAGATTCAGGAAAGCGTGCAGGATTGCTCACAGTCATACAGGTAAGCTCTGCTGCACACATCATTTGATGAATGACCATCAGAAACAAGTCCCAAATTAAATGGTACTTAGGGGCGTGCACATTTTGGAGGGATAGGGCTCAAGTGAGAAAAAGGGCACTCCTCATAATTATTTATAAATTAAAAATGTTGACTTACTTAACAATTTATTTTAATACACTCACGAAATTGTTTAATACTTAACATAGTAACACATAGAATGAATAGTTATTCGATGAGGAGCCTACAATTAAAATTATGCAGTGTAAGGCAGGACACTACAGGCAAAAACATTGCTTTTCATGTACTGCTCAATTTTGAGGTTTTGGTCAATTTCTTCCATGTTTTACTAACTCACTACTACTCACCTTCACTAGCCTCAAGATTTGATTACCATTCAGCAGTCAACGATTCCAGCAATGCATCTCGATGAATTTCAGTGTATCACATAAAACAAATTCCTATATTACCGCACATGGCTGATGGCAGACATGAGCTCCCTTTTGTGTGCCTTAAAAAGTATTATAGACTGTTACTGTTATTACAAGTTTGCTTTAATTTACAAATATAAGTTTTTCAATTCAAAAATCGCTTGGGACTTGGGAGCGTCTGTCCTGGAGCAGCGGTGTTATCATTATATAATGTTCTGTCTCTTTATCGATCCATCTAAGAATCAAGACATGTCCACAGCTCTTGTGCTCACCACTGTGCATGAGACGTGGAGGGAGGGTATAGACTTATCTCCCGACCTGATATTTTGATTGTTTATTCAATGAATGTATTTGTCTGACAGGGAGGCTGAGCACTAACAGTAAGATAATATTCATTATTTAAAAAATGCTAGGAAAAGGCTACTCACTCTCCAGGAACAAAAAGGGCAGGGGCTCAAGCCCCCTTTAATGTCTTTGTGTGCATGTGCCAGATGGTACTGATCATGTTGCATTGTGCATAGCCAGATTGGGTCTGCAAATAATCCTCCATTATCTTGTGCTTTTAAGAGGATGTTATAAGAAAGAGAAAAGAAGCACTGAAGGAAGAGAAGGAGCTGAACCGGATACAGGCCAAGAGAAACTTGGACTTCCTGGACATCCTTCTCTGTGCAAGAGTATGTTTTATGATATGAGGCTCTAACCTCTGATTTTACAAAATTACACATTATCTTATTAATAAAAAAATAATAATTAAAAACATTAATTTATTTACATAAATTTCATAACATAAAATGCAGCTCAATAGACAAGTTTTCCTTCCAAATTTCTACACACTTTGGAAAGCATACTTCCCTCAGCTATCATTAACCTCACCTTTGACCTAGTGAAGGTGCAAACAGACGTGTTATCTCCCTGACTTCTATAACACAAGACCAACCCCACTGCCTTTTATTGTGCTTTTATAATGTCGTGATTTAAAAATAAACCAGACACTGTCTATTTCTATTAGCTGTCATAGTAGTAGCAGTGGCAAATGTTTTATTTAGTCTTTTTATCGCACCTTTAGGATGAGAACCAGCAGGGTCTGTCAGATGAAGATTTACGAGCAGAAGTGGACACCTTCATGTTCGAGGGCCATGACACCACAAGCAGCGGCATCACTTTTATCCTCTATTGTCTTGCCTGCAACCCAGAACACCAGCAGATGTGCAGGGACGAGATCACAGAGGTCCTGCAAGGCAAGGACACCATAGAGTGGTAAGCTTGTATAATGAAAACACTGGCATGTGCAAGGCAAGCTGTGCTGGATTGGATGAGCTCTAACATTGTTTATGTTTCATTTTTAGGGATGATCTTAATAAAATTCCATACACTACAATGTGCATAAAAGAATCCCTTCGTCTTTACCCCCCTGTACCGGGAATGGCCAGAAAAATCACCAAACCCATGACCTTTTGTGATGGAAGGACTCTGCCTGAAGGTCTGTGGTGCATTCATGTTGGTAGTTAGAAATAGAGAACATGACGTTTACTGGTGTTTGGAAAGTTACACATTAATAGATAGTACAGCAAACTGTAACCTGTAACTTTACCCCACTGGTTAAAGCTGCAATATTAACTTTTATTGGTTGTCACCCAGGGTGAAACTGTTTTAACATAATGTATTGTCCAGTCCATCCACATTCCTTAATGTTAATACCCCTATTTTTTCATGTTGGTAGGTTCTCTTGTCGGAACAAGTATCTATGGGATGCACATGAATCCAGCCGTCTGGGAAAACCCTTATGTAAGTCAAGATCATTTTGTTTTGAGCATATGAAAGCTCACATGTGGCCACTAAAAGTAAGAATAATGCCCCCCCCTTTACTGTGCACATAACATGTGGAATAATTGAAGTGCACACCGGTGAGCCCTCAGATATCAGAGGCCCTTTATCAGAAAGTGTCTCCACGTGCATCTGAAGTGAAAGCTGAAACTGGCTCATGCAAGCCAAAAAGTCACACATTGATCTGCTTTTTTAGGTTGAGTGCCAGAGGCTACATGTCATATCCTGGTGACTCTTGGTAACAAAACCAAGTTATCTACATAAATAAAAACGTGACAAATAGTTAAAGACAAAGAGGGAAAGAGGCTATACAGGAAATTAGTAAGGCAACTATAACAGGGGGGAAATACAATATTACTGCATGACCAAAAAGACAAAAGATAATGAGAACATTTACATAATGTGTGATTTATGTCACACTGGTGTTTTTTTTTCCTTTTTGCATTTTCATAGGTCTTTGACCCACTGCGCTTCCTACCAGAGAATGTCTCCAAAAGGTCACCTCATGCATTTGTGCCCTTCTCAGCTGGGCCAAGGTTTGTCCACACATGAGCAGGCAGTTTACAGATGTCATAATACTCAGGATGTGTAGCCTCACATGTGCCTTCTTTTCACCAACACAATAAAAAGCCGTCAGGTATGATTAAGGGTTAGTGTATCCCAGGATTGATCTAATTTTAAAAAATCCAGAAACCCCAAAAGAAAAAATATCAGTTATTCCTCAGAGTAGGATATCAAGGTTAAAACGGCTGATGAATATGAGACTTGAAGCAACTCAGTTCAGAATAGTGTGTGTTTCTCCTCATGTTGCCACAGGAACAAAATAATTGTTTGTTCTGTGGTAACTTGACCCAAGCAGCAAGTTACTTGGTGACATGGACGCTTTATGAAAAAAACAAAATAGTCAGGAATGCAAATGCGTTTGAGGCAGAAGCAGTGTTTCTTTGCTTCGGACTTCGGCCTTTGTATCGCAGCAAAAAAGACACGAAAAGGTGCAGTGTGTAAGATTTAGGTGAAAGGGAACTATTGGCAGAAATTTAATGTAGAATAATCCTCATGATGTTTTCACTAGTTTGTTTCATCTAAATTGTATGAATTGTTGATCCTTTATATTTAAATAATTTATATTTACATCGAGGGGACCCTCTCTACGGAGGCCGCCATGTTTTTTACATTAGTTCAGACTGAACAAACTAAACATCTTTTGAGTTTTTATGACAGCTGAAGCTTCCACAGGTTCTTTTTCATGTTTGGAAGGAGAGTGTGAGGTGAGGGGTGTTCAGCTGCAACATTTAATCTCAACACACTGTACCTTTAAAACAATTCTTGAGGCTGACAGGCTTATTCTTGCTCTACTGAAAAGGCTCCATATTTTAGGGGGACAAATGTTTCAGTTTTAGTAAAATTTGGTGAAAGTTATTGGTAGTTAAAGCTTCTAATTCATCTGTTATCAATCGCATCAAGACTGTCTCTCCACTCCGTTAAATATTCAATATGTACAGGGTTGGATAGATAGTCTGTTCGCTCAGAGAACCAAGGTTACAACATAACTGAGAGTTCTGTGTATGACACAGCCCAAACACAGAACATTAATACAAAAACTGATCAAATGTAGATTTCCCATCAAAACTGATCACTTAACATTCCCTGCAGAGCTCTTTCCAGGTGTTTCTATAACTCTATTCACTCCCTTGCACTAACTGATATTATGTCTGCACAAGTTAATTTGAGAGATTTACCCAAATAAAACACTTGTTTTTCTGAATGAAAAACTATTTTGACAATCTTGCACAACTCTCACTTCACAACTCAAAGCATTTCATTGCTCATGTTCCTCATGTTGTTTCACAATTTTACATTTTCCTTCCAACAGAAACTGCATCGGTCAGACCTTCGCCATGAATGAGATGAAAGTGGCGACAGCCCTGACGCTGAGGAGATATACGCTGACAGAGGACCCCACTCGCAAACCCAAGATAATTGCCAGACTGGTGATGCGCTCGCTCAGTGGCGTCCACATTAAAATCAAACCTGTAGCTCAAGTATAGATGCGTGTTTTGAAAATGGATGAAAAATAACATTCTTTCTGCTTTTTAGTAGTGGATGATAGCTGATTCAAAGCCAGGTCAAACTAATACAATTGTACTTATATTTAATTTTTGCTTGTTAAAGGTACAGTGTGTAGAATTTTGTGATATCTAGTATTGAAGTGTCATGTTGCAGCTGAACACCCCTCACCTCACCCTCTCCTTCCAAACATGGAAAAGAACCTGTGGTAGCCTTTAATTGTCATAAAAACTCAAAAGGTGTTTAGTTTGTCCAGTCTGAACTAATGTAAAAAACATGGCGGCCTCCGTAGAGAGGGTCCCCTCGATGTAAATGTAAAGAATTTAAATATAAAGGGCCTTTTCTGGGGCAAAGAAAACTACAATTCATACAATTTAGATAAAATGAACGAGTGAAAACTTCATGAGGATTATTCTACATTAAATTTCTGCCAATAGATCCCTTACACCCTGGAACTTTAATGTGAGTACTGTAGTGTGAACATTTAATTTGGATTATTTCACTTATCAGTTCACTATCACTGTTTAAAGTTAGTACACAAGGACTGAGGGACCGTTTACCCTGAAGCATTTTGAAACATACCCAAAGTACTTATGAGGTGTTTTCCTCAAGGATTAAGTCTTGTCTTCCAGGATGTGGTGTATAATCTTTAGCTTGTTGACTTGCTTGTATGTAAAGCTTGAAAAAGTACTCTCCCTAAGGCAAATTTGTATCAGGTATATCAGAATACAGGCAATTCATCCATGCCAAGTACAAGGCAACAGCTTAAAACACGGTAGAGTTTATGAGTCAAAAGTAAGTCATTTCTTTATTTACAGTCATGATTACAAAATCCACAGGTCCACAAAGACAAAAAAAAGTCACCAGCACAGCTTGTCAAAATGATCTCCAATATTCAGTCTTTTGTTTATTTTAGGATCCTGTGAAACAGCCAATTACTTATCAAGGAAAACGTATCTTTCTGGAAAGCATTGCATCTTTAGGGGCAACCACATTATCCCTTGTGGTCAAACAACCAACACTGTCTTTCCTATCTTTGTCCCAGGACAGGGTTTTTAGGGTTGTTTTCTCCTCAAAATGCAAATAGCCACATGTCATGTGCAAACTGTTGAGTGTCATATACCTGCCATTAAGTGGTTGGGGATAATTAGGTGTGATTACCATTACCCCTCTCTACCTTTTAATAATAGGAAACAATATCTGATAAAAGTGATAGCGATTTTTCATAGGATCTTATCTTGACGTAAGAGTACATGGTTTACTGTGTGTGTATTTCATTCCTATGACTTAGCTTGGCTCTGTAAAACAAAAATATTAACTGTATCTGCATTAACTGCATCGAAATCTGTTGCATGAGAGAGATTCCGACATGCTACAAAACCATTAAAACTTCCTACATCCAAACCTCTTGCTATTTTGCCACTAAATGTATTTGTTACTGTGGAGTACATTTTATTATGTTGCTACTTAGTAACAGCTCAAATTAACACTCAAAGTAAAAAAAAGAACCTGATGTATTTACAAGACACTGAAGCTGGAAGTCGGCAACAAACCATTTTAAATATACAGGCTTTAAACAGCACTTTCATGGAACGCCATTAAGCTTTTGGACGAGGTTAAGTGAAGCGCAACAGGCTACAGACTATTGTACTTGCAGGTTTTCGGTCAGACCTCACAGTACACCTGTGAACACAAGTCGCCTTCTAGTGGCTTCTAGGACAGATGTAAAACACCTCTATCAGTCGTGATGGCCGAATAGTTTGTGTGAGCGTCCTCACATTGTGTCAAAATAAAAAGCAGCCCTGTGTTTTCATAGAGGCTGACTTCCTGTCTGACGTCTTTTGACTTTTCACAATAAAATATCTCATACAAAAGTAATTTTAAGCCATTTGTTTAATAGCATTATCAAAATATTGACGACGTGAAAAAACTGTTGAAATATGTTTAGTAGAAAAAAACTGTTCTTTACATCCATCACATCAAAAACATAACTTATGGATTCACGATATCCTTGTAGCCTTTCACACACACAGGTATATTTCTGGTACTAAAATGCTCACGGCCAAGTCTGTTGAGTATGCCTTTTATATTTGTTCACAGTCGCAAATATCGAACTCTTCCTGCCAAAATATCAACTGCTGACTTAATAAAGTAGACGATATCTTGAGACGCAGCCCTGTTAAATTGCGTGATGTCTTTCTGATGATAATGTGTAACACAACAAATCAATAAAAAAGGGAAGCGAGTGACTCCACCTCCGCCAGGTCACAGTTCCTGGTGTACTACTGGTAACCTGAGAGTCAGCAGCTCTAGCAAACTGGTTAGATGAGTAGTGAAGGGGTGGGTTTCTTGCCCGGCCAAGCTTCTTTGGCATATTTCTTTTTGCGTGGCTCGTTGTGGGTCTCTGGTAGGTAGGGGGCTGTGACGGGGGTGGGGTTGAGGGTGACAGGAGGCTGGGGAGCCTCTGGGGCCAGGTCCACCTCTGGTGCAGGATTAGGGAAGGGCAGGGGAAGCCCTCCCTGCATGGCCGCACCTCCCGGAGCTCCAGTTGGCTGGTTCTCGTGACTAGTGGGAGGCAAGTCCCCATAGAGACCCCCACCCAAGTTGTAGCCGTGGATACGTTTTGAAGTCATGTCATCCAAACCCAACGTGTTTTGGCCCTCAGATCTCCGTTTCTACAACAATGATGACAAAGTATTAAGTTTTAAAGTCACAAAGTTAATGCAACAGAACTGTTTTTGCTAAGTAACCCAACTCAACACTGATATGATGTATCCAATATACTCAAATTCAACAATTTTAATCAGGAATTTAAAAATAACAAAATCACAGGTTACCTTAATGGGGACGACGGCAGTCTGCACCATATTTCTGAAGCGTCCCACCGAGGGGTCTATATCCTCTGCAAATATAAAACAGTGTTAATATTTTGTTGTTAACATTTACTTTCACAAAAAGTAGAAATGCACATATCTGATCAGTGAAAGAGTTTGGTTAGGGAGGCAACTCACTGCAAAAACAAATTTATCAAAATCTTTTATGATTAACAAGTCTGGAAAAATATATCCAATTGAATAGTAAACTTAGCATAAAGTTAAATATTAACTGAAATCTAAATCACAATCTAATTTCCTTTAGCACGAGTTGTGTGAATGTTTCTTGTGCTATTTTGCCACCATCTTCACTTTCATTTGTACCTGGATTAATGATGGAGTCCTCCTCACTGAAAGTAACTCTGGAGTTCCTGCGTTTCCTCTTAGGCCTCTGGATTTCAAGGTTTCCCTCTTCGATAGTCAGGAGCGAGATGCGCTTGTTGTGAGCTGTGTTGAACTCTGTCAGGTTCTGTCATTTTATTCAGCAAAAGAAAATTAATTGCAATGTGGTATGACCAGGACATCTCTACTCTAACACAACACTACTAAACTGGACAGGAAAATAATGAAATGGATGTGCGTCTATTATAATGATCTTACTTTAATAGCATATTCCTAAAATTATGGACAATGCCTCATGAATTCAAACCAGTCTGACAATCTATGATCTTTGATAATGAAAATAAAATTGTATGTGTTACAGTTTACAAACATATCTAGTAAAAAACCTATAAATGGCTCAAATAGAATTTTAACTCTATTGAATTTGTAAGACTTCGTCCGAAAGAAGCAACTTGTGGTTTAAAAAAGAAACGTGGTGCATTTATTTTTTTGTCTTTGGTTTAGTTAATGTTTGTAGCATACAATTAAAACATTGTTACTCTCACCAAGAAAATAAACGTACCTCTAGCTCTGTCTCTTCTTCTGGAAGCCCAAGCAGCCCTTTCAGTTCCTCATCCTCTCCCACCTTAGTGTCCCCTGTACCAGCAGTGCCTTGGGTTTGAGGTTTCTCTCTGATGGTGTAGGTCCGTGTTGAGGCCCCGAAAGATATTGTAGAGTCTATGGGGACCTGCTGAGGCTTGTGTGCCTCCAGACGGATGTGTCCGAGGAAAGTACCGTGTGCTAAAATATAGAATGTGATTCAGACCTAGCGTCAAAACATGTGTTGATGTCACACCAGGCATATGAGATGGAGCAGCAGTTTAAGATCAATACTTAAAACTGTTTCTGTTCTGGGAACCAATCAACTTGTATGAATCAAGTTTTTGACATAAAGTCTATCAATCGGCCTATGATTCCAGTTATAAATGTAGTTTAAGATTAGATAGGAGTTCCACATTATGTTAATTGGCATTTTATTTTCCCACAGGACTTATGAGCTGTGTGTAACCATATATTTTCTGGAGCTTAATATCACCAAGTGTCACAAATCATCCGAATAACAAATTTAATACTATTCCAATGTTACCACATTATAACGGCCAGTGGAGCCAAAAGTGACAATTTGTAACTCCCTTATTGCACAGTGCAAGAGAAGCAAGTTTGAAACCTTAAAATATAGTAAAAAAAACAATTAATATTGTTTGTGATAACACAGAGCTGAGTCTGACAAGCAGACCACCCACAAATATATTTAAATTGTAGTTATATAAAAGAATAAAGCAGGTAAACCTCAAATTAAAATGCTGGAAGTTTTGCTTAAAAAAATCACTAATCAAGTCTGTTTTTCTGACTGAATAATTAACTCTACAATTAATCAGATATTAATAGAATAATGATTGACTAATTGGTTCTGCTATATTTTATGTGAACTGTATAGAATAGAACTATTGTTAGCAAGTCAGTTGTTTTAGTCTATCAGCCCTTTGCATGTATCTCAAACTCTTTCAGACAATGATCCTAAATATAAAATGAATACAGACAGTGGGTGTGGTGCTGAATAGTGTCTTACTGCTGTTGAGGTCTATGAGAAAGACCCTTTTCAGATGTTTGTGGTAGACCAGGGCGGCGTGGACACGTGAGCAGGACTGGTGGTCGATGGTGAAGTCACACCAGTCCGGGTTCCTCCCAAACAGGTAGTACTTCTTTTCATCAATGATCAGTTTCTACGGGGACAGATGTGTAGCGTCACAGTCGGAGCAGCAGCTGGTGGAAAGTGTCTGTAAACAATCTGCAGTGTGTGTGTCTGTGCCTCTGAGCCATAACTCAACAGTGATGCTCCCCACTGCCAAGCTTAAATCTCAGGGCTGACGCTGCTCTCGCACCGTTTGAAACCATGCAGCCATATGTGACACAAACCCAGAGTGGGACTGCGTCGACTGTCAGGCTTGTATCTGGTGCATTCACTGACTCATGCAGTAACAAAACCAATTAACTGATGGTTAATGAGCATTCACAAGCTTCCACTCACTTCTATCAGTTTGTCTCCCTTCATCACGTCTAGATGGAGCCCTTGAGGAGCCTTTCCTGCCCTGAAAGGAAACAGATAGTGGACGGTTTAAACATTTAAACACCCTGGACCACATGCATGTATGCAACACTTGTGATTAATTGATACATCAGCTTTGTTACAGCTCGTAAAAACAAACACCACATCCTCTTTCTAACGTGTTACATCTCCTGCATTACTCCCACAGATCAAGAGAAGGGGTGCGAGGTTCAATTCAATATTAAAGTATCGTGTCTTGATCACATGGACCTCCCTGTACATGCACCTTCTTGCATTAATACATTCATTCCAGCGTTAACGGGTTAGCTCGTTAGCTTGCCGAGATGCTAACGCTAGCTGCACTAGCCCCACGCTTCTCTGCAAACGAAGGAGACTCGAATAAGTTCCCGAGCGTAGTTTGGCTGGTTCGCGTCAAACGCTGCGCCCCGAACAACCCGCCGCCACTTCAACACGTGCGTTTCCTCACCATGACGGACAATCGAAAGGAGGGGGACTACTCTCTGTGCTTATTTTAGTCGCCATCTTGCCTCATCTTCCAGAAGCCGCGCGGCATGATGGGAAAAACGTCACCTTTGCACGATGGGAGTCGGAGTTTTGCAGCCCGAAAAGCACTTTGCAGCCAAGTTAGACCAAACCTGTTGAAATCAATGTGAGACTGAATCACCATGTGTATGAGTGAAGGAAATGACACAGAACAGGAACAGATGTCAGGTCCCTCGACAACCACATGAGGACCTCAGATTTTTAAATAGTTATGTGAAGAAGAAGCTTCTGGTTTTCAAATGCATCTCATTTCTGCGGTTACAGTCGTGAACAAATAGGATATGTTTGTGTAAATACTGTGTATTCTTTTTTACTTTTTCTTTAGCCCTCAAATCAAATGTGTTTTGTTACATTTAGCATATTTTTAGTTTAGTGCGTTGAAATGACATTGTAATTTCTGTTGTAAGAAAGGTTAAAAGAAGAGTTTGGGACCTCTCAGGGTTTGTGCCATGCACCCAAGCCATTTCCTCTATGTGACTTCTCTCACCCTGTTGTTGGTAAGGGGAAGTAGACCCCACAAGAAGTTCAGGCCCACCTTTTAAGCATGTTGCAGTGTTCATTTGGAAAGTATTGTGGGTTTTTACAGATGCTGTAAAGGCGCAGCCTCGTCGTGTCACTGAGGCAGGGGTAGGATTGGTCTGTAGTGCAGATCCACAGATGGAAGTGAAGGTGCTTTGAGGTCATCTGAGTCAAGGCACATTTAATGTAAGAAGGATGGCTTTACTGGAAAATGTGCACCCACGCAATCTGAAATCAACCATTAATGTTGTGTTTTGGCATCTGTGTGACAGTATGAGGGAGTTTTTCTATCCACCCGTGTGTAATCTGTCCTAACAGTTGCCACGTGATTCTGAACCTGCATCAAAAAGTTGTCAATCTGTTTGACAGAAACCACATCAGGGTGATGTGAAGCTGTTTTACAACTTAAAAGAGTTAATGATTGTGTCTGTTAATAATGGGGTACGTCATTCCTTTGGGATACCACGAAAATCAGCTTCATACAGAAACAAACATGCATTATAATATGCCAATACAACTTCTCATTTCTGACAATGCAAGCACTGTGCAAACTGCTACAGCAACTTCCTCATTCATGTTTGTGGTTTTTGACAAAGCACCCTCTTTTTCTGCTGTGCTTGTCATTTGCTATCTGTCTTTGTTCTGCGTTGCAGCACGGCGAGACACAGCAGTGATGGAGGGCGAAACTGGTCTGCCACTTCAACAGTTGATCGCATCATTTGACAATAAGTGTCTGCCAAAGATCCTGCAGGTCATCTCAGGAGTCTATTTCCAAGGTAAGCCTCTTATTGATTTAGTGATTGTGAACTGAGATTGTGAGCATAGATGAAAAGAAAGTTGAACTGATGGGAAACTACTTGAGGAGATAAGATTATCTGGTTTCTGTATTGTGTCTGAGTCTATTCCATACATTTATATCTACAGTTTGTAGAATACACGTCTTTTCTTAACCCCAAACCAGAAGTTATTGCAGCCCAATAAAAAAAAAAATTTGAAACATTCATAATGTTCTTTATATATAGATATTTCAAAAGATATGGGTTTGAGAGGGAGTTGAGAAAAAAAAAATTCTAATCATTGATCTGATTTAAGAATTTTGATCTTGTTGGTTGTTTCTTTCTTTGCTCAATTTCTTTCTTTCTATTTCAGGATCGATATATGAACTCTCTGGAAGTGAAGTGTGCTTTTGTACTGGGGATCTAATAAAGGTCATCAATATTGAGCTTCAATCAGTTTGCTGTGAATACATCAGCAACAAGGAGGCGTTTGAGCTCCCTATCAGCCACACAGGTGGGTCTGTACTGTATACTTTGGTTGTAGTGAGATCACGTAAATGTGTTTTGCAGCCGACCACTAACTCACGATTGTTTCTTAGGCTTGTACAAGGTTGTTCCAGAGGAGATGCCATACAGCACGATAGAGGAGATGGTGAGTCTGAGGCCTGTAGGTCTGGACTCCTGCCTGCCTTTCACTTTCACCAGCCGCTCTAAGATGACTTTGGACAACTTCACACTGGCGGCTGGCAGAGAATTGACGGTGCTTTCTGTTGAGAAGGATCAGGTCCGCTGCCACGTTCGTGGTGAACAGGATGTCTCAGCCGAAGTGTGCATCCCTCTTTCTTTCAGAGGAGAGTTCTACGAGTGTGAGAGCGAGGAGTGCTTCACTCTGGGGGAGATCATGTCCTCTGCCTGCCTGCGTAGTCGAAAGTTTCGCACCACCAAATGTGAACGGCCACTTATCCTGAGCCCAATATACCAAGTCCACGCCATCATGAACTGTAAGAATAACCTCCTTTTTTAATTTTAGATTATATATCCTTCTAATGTCTACATGAATTTAATAACAATTTTACTTGTCAATGATGAGCTCACTAAATAATAATAATATTAATGAATTGTATCTATGAAGAACTTAGAGAACAGGATAAAGCAATACAATAAGTCTAGATGAAATCAGATCAGGAGGAGCTTGTAAAAGAGTGTAGTAATAAAACAAATGGGCTAAAATGAAAGTAATAAGACATGGATAGGAACTAGATAGGCACCAGTACTACATGAAAAAAACCTTTCCCATAAAAGTAGGCTTGAGGAGTGAATCAAAAAAAGGAAACGAGCTTACAAACTTCCTCAGGTGAAGAGTTCCATGCCCACTATGGGCTCGGCTGCAAGTAGTCGCTTGGCTAAGTAGGAGCAAGGCCATGCAGGACTTTGATAAGTAAATTTAAATAAAGTAAGAGAACTCCATATAAAATAATCTAATACGATGCTATTCACATTATGCAGAATACTTTAGAAGTATGTTTAAGTTATTGCACAGTTCAGAGAGGTGAGTAAAAAATTGGTGTAAACAGGCAGGTAGCAGATATGCAGAGGATTGTTGTGCGTAAATTGAACCATGAGTTTAGAACCCTGGCTGTGGTCCCTCGATGATGCTGCATGGCTTCTGTAGACAGCGTTGGAGAAAGTTAGATATCCTGAACGGCCAGGCATCTGGTTTAAAAGTCAGTTCAGTCAAGTGTAACAAGAACGAGAGTATGGTGTTGTCTCTTGGAGTTTGTGAGGAGAATGAGCAGATGAGAGGGCAGGAGATGGTGTTTGGGTTGAGTGGTCTAAAACTGTTTCTCCCTTTTTTTTGTACAGTGAGGAAGAATGTGTTCAAGTTCTCATCCAGCTCAGAGGTTGATGTGATCGATGTCACAGAGCAGTGCAAAGATGTAGCTTTTGTGACCCCATTCAGTCTGACAGAGGTCCTGTCCCAGCCAGATGAATCGTTCCCCGTAGTGGTGGAGGTACTGGAATACCCACAGGCCGACTCTGTGTTCACGTGCAGCTGGCTGCCAGAACTTAGCAAGAGCAAGCACCTGGTTTTCCACAAGAAAGGAACATCGGACTGGATTTTATTCTCAAGTCTGAAGAGCCGCAAGGTGCAGCAGTACTTTCTGGTATCTCAGCAATACGGTGGGCGGTTTCGGAGGCGGCCAAGAGAGTTTAACTCTGTGTACGAGCTGTACGTCGCTTCAGTCCAGGCACCGGGTCTGAGGTTGAGTGTCACAAGGAGCTGTGAGGAGGTTGAGGAGGAGGGCCTGCCTGCGCTCACTGTGGGTGAACAGCTAGAGGTTATGCATTGTGACACGATGGAGCTGCCTTGTGGAAGCAGCAAGGAACAGAAGCAGTCCGTGGAGGCACTGATTTGTCATCGTCTCCAAGAGCCTGATGAGGGAGATGATGATGATGATGATGATGATGATGATAAGAGGGTCCAGCAGAAGGATAAGATAGAGGTGATTTCTCTGCCTCTGTACATGCAGGCTCACTTTATGGAGGTGCTCTCAGACAACAAGAAGTACAGACTCAGGGACTTGGATAAGGAGTTCAGTTTTCCTCTGGATGTTAAAATTGTGAACCGGGACAATGAAATGGAGACTGATCCGCTGGTTGGGCATACATGTCTCAAAATAGAAGGGGCCATATCAGAGCCCATCATCCAGGCGAGTTTTCCCCACAGGCCAGACCACTGTTTTAAGATCCCAACACAGTGGCTCTCTATGTCTGTCTCTTTCACCAACGACCCCCTGCCATGGCCCAGCGATCAGCCCCCTGACTGCCACGTGGACAGGGTCACCGAGGTGACGGACACATTCTTTTATGAATACCGCAAACGGGGGAACTCGGATGCAGCTCCTCCTCCTCGGCCACCAAAACGAAATTTGTCTTCTTCAGACACTTCGAGAAAATCATTTAAACCTCCAAAGAAGCCCACCAAAGCGGACAAATCAAAACTTCGACAAGACGAGAGCATCACGACCACAGACTTTGCCAATTTGACTATAAACAGGAAAAAGAGACCCCCAGCTCCCCCACCTCCAGTAAGTATGGCTTTCTTGCATTTAAAATTGTTGTGATCCATTTTTAACACAACCACACATCTGTCTCATGTTACTTTGTAAAGTACAAGACAGTTGACTGCTGAGAGACATTTTTCTTCATAAGTAAATTTTCTTAGAAACTGCCAAGACAAAGTACTTCCACATTTGACTGTGGTAAAGAAGCTGTGTGTTTGATAAAAGAGAGCATCTTTCTCTTCCTCTTATTGTGCAGGTTATTTTCGAAGATCAACCGCCGCCACTTGCACCACGAAAGCACTCAATTGACGTGACAACCAGCAAGGCCCTGCCAAACATGTACGTGAAGAGGGAGGTTTCTATAAAGACAGGTACATATTCATAGCTCTTCAGTGCTCGTACACAACAAGTCTGATGTTTTTCTACTGTACAAAAACCTGATGACATCCAAGACCAAACCCAACAATATTCTCCTGATCTTATATTTAGCAATCTGCCCCAAATCCATAACTTCCAATTGTAGGTGATAATATTTAAATGCAGGTTACAAGTATGAAGTTTTAAAAAGGCAAAACAAATATTTTTCACGACAATGAAGGACCATGTCACCCACTTAAGATCTGTGCTCTGGAGTTTTTGTACAAAAATGAATCAAAGAAATTGTATCATGCATTGTCCTCACAGGACTAGAATGTTACGTGTAACAGTATCCTTATGAATCTACATTTAAATTCACTAGATCCAGATGTTGATTAGGATCTGATCACACAGTCATTAATATCAGTCCCTTAAACATCCCTGGTTGTTTTCATCAAGATCCATGAATTATTATCTGAGAAATCAATTTAAATGTTTAAAAACGCACCAAGTTATTTTCTGAGCCAAACCAAATCATTCCACCAAGTTCAGTGGGGACCCGTCCAGTGGTTTTTGTGTATTTCTTCTTACAACCTAAAAAACCAACGTAACCTCTTTGATAGGGGATGTGAGACACTGTGAATACACTAACTGATTAACTGTTTGCTTCTTTCCCTCCAGCTGTGGCAGATGTGGACAGTGACCACGACTATGAAACAGTGGATGATAGTTTGTTGACAATGATGCAGGAATCACAAAACAATGTAAAGTTCTACTAAGAAATTACAGTAGGAAAATCTCATACTGTAGTTTTGTGTTATTTCTCGACTGCATCCCAGAGACTCTACAGTCAGACCAAGCAACCGAATGCTCCATTAAATCAGATATTGTGTTGAAACTCATATTCCCATGTAAAAAAACATCTGTAAGGTTGGATATTTGAGCTTGATATCATGTTATTGAGTGTAATCTATTAGAGCAAGATTCAAAACACCCTGAGGAGTTTTTGGTGAACCATAAATGTTGTCAAACGTCCAAACATTCAGGCTTAACTTGTTCCCTGTTCTTCAAGCTTGTTAGTGGCTGAGGTGTTGCTGTGTACAGACAACCACTTAGACCACTGGACAAATATTGTATTTGTATTTAAATAAGCATGTTTATTCAAACTAATCCCAACCGTGTGGTAACTTGGGCCTGAAACTATTTATTTTGTATATATAATAGCTTTACAATGTGCAATTCTTAATTACTTAAAAGGTTTTAGCAGGAATAGTATGATACAGTTAAATTCAAGAATAAAAAACATGAAATGTTCAATGTACACCTCACTGTCTCAATAAATTAAAATTTTTAAGCATTGCAAAATTTAAATTTTACCGTATAAGCTTTTAATGTATGTCAAACTCATTCCTTACATACGTATACATGTTTGCTGGGGTAAGCACAATGGTGGCTTAATGGATTCTATAGCTACAATAACAGGAGCTCTGCCTTCACAACCAAAGCCATCAAGTTAATGTCGAAAACCTTTAAAACCGGGGCCTCTTGTACGTATTGAGAGTTATTTCTTTATTTGCATTTTGTATACACATGTTTACTGTGTTGACCAGTGTCTTCTTACTGTCAGATGTGCTGGTCTTTATATATCTTGCCAGTTAAGTTAATTTGCTACAGGTGGACTCAGTAAAAGACAAAAATCGAAAGCATAAGCTACATGAGTCAGTTTGTTGTTGCTAAATGTGCAAATACACATGTACAAGAATTTTTATTTAAATCGTAATAAAAAATGTCTTGTTAACTGTAGGGCTGTGTGGATTGAATGTGAAACCAAGGTTTGAAGTGACCTCTGCACATGAACCGACATTAATCTGTGACACAAATATGATAAATAAACCTTTAAAAAGAAGAGTTCCCAGCAGATGACCAAACTGTATTTCAAATAATCTTTTAATATTGTCAAAAATAAAATAGACGAAAATAAATCAAGTACTTATGTTTCCAGGCTTTAAAATTACAAAATGCTTTACAGTGGACACGGGGAGGGAGAAAATACATAAAACAAATATTTAGTTACTGCTTACAACGACTCTGAAAATCTTCCGCTTGCAAATTAGCAGAAGCAATTCTGTGAATACTGAACACGTAAACTAAACTTGAAACCATATGTTTTCAACTAAACAGAAAAGGAACTGTGGGTGTTGGTGGTTTTGGTTAAAGTTAAGAATTTATTTCAGCTGATATTCAAAAAAGGAACCACCATGAATGGGAAGGTGTCTAATCGTCACTGTCCGTTGATTTGAAATGGTCTTCGTCGATGGTGGAAAAGATGTGACCTTCATTGCTAAGAAATTCCACTGCTTGCCTGTTAAAAGACAAAAAGAAATATGAATTGTACTTTTGCAGCACAAAATTGAATCATGAAGAAGTACAACTGGTTGTAGCCATGTTTACCCAGAAGATAATTTTCAGTGAGCGATGATAAGTTAGTGAGACATTTTTTAAGTTAGGAGGGGAACTCCATTTGGTCAAAACAAGGGTAGAGAAAACCTTCACCATTCTTAAAAAAAGGCCAAGAAGAGGAACAGGTAAAACATGAATAAGGATAAAATGAACTTTTCTTACTTGATAACAGTCAGACTTATTCCACTGAGTCTCTGCTTCAGGTCCTGGAGGCTGATGCCCTGCGGCTCTGGGCAGCTTCTTATCAAACTCAGCACCTTGAGTCATGAACAGTGACATCGAAACATGTGAACAGTTTCAATCTACAAGAAAAGCTACTTCGCTACTTCACCACTTCTCTTTGCGGAAGTATTATTAGAAGGGCCAGTAATGATAATGTACATCCTGTGTAAGTGAAACTCAACACACACATGAACAGTTGTAAGTTTCAGTCTATAAAAAACACTAAACTATAAAATCTTTACTGCAGATAAAACAGGTAGGATGAACACAAAGTTTTCCAAATTAACTCTGCACCATGGACTGTTTATAAAAAGCTCTGCACAAATTCCAGGTTTTTATATATTTGAGTTTGGGTTCTTGTCCGTCTAATCGACATAACAATGGAGACATAATGTTTCAAAGAAGTGTATTCTATACATCTAATATTAATCTGTCATTTAGGTTTACCTGATTCTGGTTCCCGCTCAACCCGTTCTTAGTCATGTCGTTGGCGCCAGTGTAGCCCCCACCCATTCCTCCCATGCCCCCCTTGTTGCCCATGTCTGGCCTCATCATGGGTGTGACGTTACTGCTCATTCCTCCTCCGACACTCTTCTGAAGGAGAAATGGAAATAAAATAAATTCCAGGTAATAGGAAAAGGTGACATTTCCAAACATGGAGGCAAGAAAAGCAAATTTTTGTTTAACAACCAACAGTAACGGATGTTGGGATTTATGCTTATTTTCTCTCACCATGGTCTGAGGTTTGCTTAGCGCCATGTGTGCTTGTACAACCTCCAACATGTGCGAGGTGATTTCATTCATGTCCTCTAGGGGTCTGACGCTGAACGCCACAACAGACCTGTGGTTCTGTGACAGGAAGACAACACCCACACCCTCAGTACAACAGCACATAGCACAGCAAAAAACAAAAACACAAAACCCCCCATCAGAAAACCACATATGCTATATAGGCTGTGAATGTGAACACCAGAGTACAGCTGCTCAGCAATAAACCATACATTTATTAATCTCTAAACTTTAATTTCATAGGGTCATGACTCCTTGCAGGAGATCATAGAGCTAATGCTACATCCACAATAATCCATTTTAGTTTTTAGACGCATTTCTGTTGCTATGTTGGTGGCTGCTGATACAATACAACAGAGCTTTTGAGCATCAACTGAGAATCTTTGGAAATGCCACTGGTCCGGTTTTAATTTGAAATCTCGAGGGCTGTGCGAAAGTCTGGAAGGACACAAATGGAGACATTTGGAAACAAAAGAGGTGAGTTCTGATATAGTGTTAAAACTAAGACGAATGTAGGACTTTAAACTCACCTGAAAGGAGCGCAGATTTCCAGAAACTTTGACGTACGTGCCTGGGGGCAGCACAGTGCTGTCCACACCAGCATCCTGAACAATAATATGGAGAATATGGTTAGGGTTGGAGTCTTGTAATGTCCCAAACAAATGATTACTTTAATTAACTATTATTATTAATTACTTATGATTATTGCAAAACGTCATTCACGATATTTAGTCTAGTTCTTGATCTTAAATGTGTTCATCTAATAAAGTTGCTAGTCTAAAAAGTTCTCTGAACTATCTCGTAATATAATCAGAGGAGCTCATATCCAAAAATAAAAGAATCCCCACAAACCTCTGTGTCAACCCACTGCTTCACGTCCATGGGAGCGCCCGTCATGTCATCGACTTTGTACTGGATGTTGGTCATGGATTTGTCCGTGCTCCTGATGACACCCACGAAGGTAACCTGTGACACATGAACTGTGAGCAGAGCAACTGGGAAAGTTCAATGACTACATGTGTAACAATTTGTTTTGTTGCTTAAGTATATGCAGCATAAAACAAGGTGTATTTACACAATGAGTTGAACAATGCAAAGTTATTTCCATGTTATTTCCCTTCGGCTTACCTGTGCAACTTCCACATCTCCCACTCTGAACGATTCATCCGCCTGGGAAGCAGACATCAGCTGAGACACGGTGCAGGGGATTATCTGATTTGCACGAGTTCTCTGTAAAACAAACACACACACACACCGTTACAGCTGTGTATTACAAACATGAATTAATTACTATCCAGGGAACACGGACAGAGAATGACCACAAAGCAAGATGCTGCGAAGAGATACAAAATGAGCACAAACAAAACCTGTCTGTCATGCCTGAACAGAGGCTAGCTGCAGAGTAAACGCATTAAGGGATTTACCCTTTGAAAAACAAAAAAAGACCAGCAGATATCCTGCTATTAACATCAGTTTATGTGAGCTGAACTTCACCAGTCAACCTACAGTCAGTGTTTGCATCCCCACACAGGAACGTTCATGATTCAAGATGCTTCATTGTCATGTATGCACAGATGACCATTATCACAACACAATGTGAAGAAGGGGGTTAAACGTTATGATTTAATGATGAACCAAATATATTCATAACAGGAAAGTGCAACATAACAGAGAGGGCCCAACACGTTTTAGTCTTTAAGATTCTTTTTGTTTTGTACTGCAATAAAACTTGTTGTTTATCTTTTGTGTTGTCCTGTCTGTTGTGTGGTTCTGAGCCAAGCAAAATGCATAATCTCGATAAGGTAAGTGAACAAGGGGGAAATGTGGTTGTATACATTTATATAACAATATGTATAATGTATAAAATAAACATATTATATACAGGTTTGTTTGTGTGCACTGTCATGTCATCTACTGTTGATGCTCAGCACACTTGTGTGTCTGTGAATCATGATTCCAGGGAGTAACGTGTAGTACTGCAGTACTGACCCCTTTCTTCTCTCCTCCCTGGGAGAGAGAAGGTGATGCGAAGCCTCCCGGAGACTGAGTGTAACCTCCACCCACACTGGACTCGTTGTATCCTCCTGGAGACAAAGACACGAGACTTCACATGGGACACCACACAACACTTTGCTAACCAGCGTCCAGCTAACGTTAGCCGGTGTCGACAACACAGCGTCCACGAGCCGGTGTGAACATCGAACTCACCCTGGTTCCACATGTTGTCGCCTTGTGTTAAAGTTAGTAAAACCTGATGTGAGACAATAAGACGAGCGGAGTCAACAGCAGCGAGCAGACCCTTCTCAAAACTTCCTGGTGGGATCCCGCGAAAAACTCTACCTACGGCGCATGCGCGGTGAAGGAGTCCCGCGAAATGTCCTGATTTGCGGAGCGTTTTCCCCCCGATGTTGTCTTGCCAGGTGGTTTTTATTCTCCCGTGTCGTGTGTTTTTATCGACTCCAACCCTCAGCAATGACCACACACACGCTACGTCTTTCTATTCACCAGACAACTGAGTCAGTGTCGTTTATTAAAGAAGGTGCAGAGCGTTGGTTACAGTACCTGAAAGACAAAACTCGGGAGGTGCAAGATCATAAATCCAGTACACCGGGACAATCAAGGTTTCGCTGCCTTCAAGATCTGTGGGAAATATGTGAACTGACAATCTGTTGTCATAGACAAAATGTTTAATAGGAGAACAATAATATCCTCAAGCAACGTTCAACTTCACCAATAGATATCACTAAATTCGACACACTGAATCTTTAATTCATTTTACTGAATATTTATGTTGCTATTATTATCTATTTAGTGATTTTTTTTTTCTTCAGATTTATTTTATTTCATCTTTTACAAACTTTCTGAAACTATACAGTGGAATTGGAGAATGTTGACCTAAACTCTCTTTTATTCGGCATCTAATTTTCTTTATTTAACAATAACTACATTCAAATGAACCCTCACCGTGTGTCGGATATGTTGTCAAATTCAAATTAAATGTATCAAAACAGTATACAATTATATGTTAGTTTCAGAATGAACAGAGAAGTGAACATAAGGTGGTTACACAATACAATGTTCTGGTCCAGTGCAACAAAAAACACATTATCCATTGGCCCTCAGTGCTCCTCTGCTGTGCTGTCATTTTATGAAAAGTAATTTAGGGATCAGGAAAGGGAAGCACCAACATCCCCTGAAAGCAGCACAGAAACCACAAGTCCTGTTTCGTCTTATGTTATATTCAGTGTGACATTTAAAAATGGAAACATGAACAACCAGATGACAGAAAATAGACAAATGCATCCACTAAGCTTGAAGTGTACATGTAACTGAGGGCATCAGTTAAAATAGTTCCTTCTGATTTTATCTTAAGCCCGCATAAAAATAGTTCCAATGGAGGGATTTGGTGAGTATCTGCTGTCTTATTATGGTATTCTCAAATCTGTCGCCTACAAAGAGTTCTTTCATCAGTCTACCAGTTGTGTTACAATACAACTTAGTTTTGTTCTGGGCTTGCAGCCAAAACTCTGTTAATAAAGTGACGCTGCTTCTCCTTTTAAATCAGAAAAATGCACATTGACTTTTGAACTTTTTTATTATAGGTCTGGTGAAGCCCATATTAGGCTATCTGAGGTTTTATAATTGAAATTATTAACATCAGCTAGGGAACCAAATATAAAGATATGGGAAACATTGAAGCCTAACACGCGTCATGATGATCTGTATCTTATCTCGCTTCGACCTTTTATAGACTTACCTCTCAAACCTGGTCTTAACCTCCGTCGGATGCTTGTTTTCTTCAAAGAGCTCAACATGTCGGTGGTGAAGCTGATCCTGTCTTATCTGCTGTTCAAAGAGGCTCATGCGCTGTCAGGTGAGAAGCAGCACCAGAATAACCATCCTGTATCAATATAGCTACTTGAAATGTATCTTGAAATGCACCATCCAGGATCAACTCAACGGTTTTTATTTTTATCCAGGGAACTTCTGGCACATCACAGATCTGCATTGGGACTACACGTTCAACCTGAGCAATGACCCTGAACTTGTGTGCAACTCAAGCAGCAATCGACCCGCAACCAATGCTGGGAAGTATGGAGACTATGTTTGTGACTCACCACTGCATCTTATCAACTCCTCTGTGTATGCCATGAAGGATATTCTACCAGACCCGGACTTCATCGTGTGGACAGGGTATGTACTGACTGGATCATTATGAATACTGCTGGTTTGTATAAAGTCCCAAGTCCACTTTCATAATCATGGTGTTTAGACCTCCGCTATGAAATGTCCTGCGTTAGGGTCACAGCTTGGCCCCAAGCAGCAACAGAATACATCAATTATAAGCATTATTCCTGCTCTTTAAATAATCTGTGTTTTGCTCCTCAGAGATAACACACCACATGTACCCAATAAATACCTGGATGAAAAGAAAGTGCTGCACATTATCAGCCGCCTCACTCACATTATAAAACAGGTCTTTCCACGTAAGTTTCAAGTCAAGAGACGTTGAGTTTTAAAGGAGAAAACAACAACATTGAATTTTTTCAGTATTGATTAACTAAAATTAATGATGGAAGTTCTTCGTTCCTTAGACACTAAAGTGTACTCCGCCCTGGGAAACCATGACTACCACCAAAAGAACCAGCTTCCCACATTCTCTAACAACATCTATAACCAGACAGCAGAAATGTGGCAGGACTGGTTGGATCCTGAGTCCCAAGAAACATTTAGAAAAGGTGAGTAGAGCTGGTGCTTACAAATGGACAGTTGCTCTCCAATTAATCTAATCACACTTAAGGCACGTGTCCGAGTGCGTTTTCTGTAATATTATGTCTGTACAGGTGGATATTACACAGAAAGGTTGCTGAATCGAACAGGGTTCAGGATGCTGGTCCTCAACACTAACCTCTATTATGACCAAAACAAGGAGACCGTGGGTATGGAAGATCCAGCGGACCAGTTCAATTGGGCTGATCGTATTCTTACAGAGGCCGCCAACAACAAAGAGAAGGTAAAGCTTTGTGTCTGTCCATGCTTTTTAACAGGGATTTAATTGTATTTGAAATTAGGGGGCACACTATTTTACCACCTTTAAGTGGTTTTAATTCAGCCAAAATAAGTGATAAACCATTCAGTGTATTATGAGTAATTCTTTCCTCTTTTCAATGCTGGTTACCAGGGTAAACAAAAAAGTACTTTCAGTCTGAATAACTTGTACTATGAGTAATAAAAAATTAGGTTTTGAAAGGGCACTGTCTGGAATTAAGCTCCAGCCCATTTCAACCCAAGCCTTGTAAAAAAAAGGTGGATCAGTTTAAACACTAGAGCTCATACAGTTACATCAGATCATTTTTACCAACTCTACATTGGTTTCTCTGCCAGGTTTACATCATTGGCCACGTCCCCCCAGGTTTCTTTGAGAAGAAGAGATTTAAGCCGTGGTTCACGTCTGAATTCAACCAGGTATACTTGGAGTTAATTCAGAGGCATCATTCTGTCATCCTCGGGCAGTTCTTTGGCCATCACCACACAGACAGTTTCCGCATGTTCTACAGCTCAGAGGGTAAAGTCTTACTATTATGATATTACCACTCCGCCCCTTGTTTTGCATCAGTGCTGAATGAGTCGACTGGGATGCTTGGATGATTTTTTTTCTGTGACCTGTGGGGACCCTGCATTCATACTGTACATTTGTGATATAATGTAAATCAGCATGGATTCCTGTTTTTCTTTATACAGAGCCACGCTCTCCTATCAGTACCATGTTCCTCAGCCCAGGGGTCACACCGTGGAAAACAACACTTCCTGGAGTCGAGGATGGCGCAAACAACCCTGGGATTCGTGTCTTTGAATATGACACCCAAACACTCCTGGTCAAAGTAGGTTCATGTCATTGTGTGTAACCTCCATTTGAATATCTTTAGAAACTGTTCTAAGGTGCAGTATACAGCTTAAATCTACTTTAAAAAGATATGCAACCCTCCATTCAAAAGCTTTCAACGATCATTGTTGTGGTTTCTGAACCATTTGTCTGAACACGTTCAGGATGTGGTGACTTATTATCTGAACCTGACTCATGCTAATGGAGCACGTGGGCGCTGGGAGAAAGAGTACCGCCTTACAGAGAGCTTCAGAGTGCCGGACGCCTCCCCAGCTTCCATGCACCAGGTCCTGGAGCGCATAGCTAACAACCGCTGCTACCTGCAGAAGTACTACGAGTTCAACTCTGTCAGTTATGACCTGACAGAGTGTGACAGCGACTGCCGCATTGACCACGTTTGTGCAGCCAGAGAGGTGGACTTTGAGAAGTACGAATGCTGCCTGCAAAAAGAAGGTGCCGCTGCTATTCAGAGTGGGATTCTGCCACTCATCTCTGTGGCTGTAAGTCTGGTGTTGGCCAGTCGGTAATGATGGTCGTCACCTATCACAGAGGATGTTTAAAATATATTATTGATGCCTCAGGATGTTTTTGGATCAGAAAAGACTTTAATTCAAGATCAAGAGCTGTATATATTGTGGCCATGGACATGTTTGCTTTTAAACAGTCAGGACAATTTCATATCTCATTAAATTATATGACATCCATAGTTTGACTGAATCATTCACTACATGTAGTGAAGCAAGGAAAAACAAAACAACCTTTGGCTTTAGCTTTAGGTGCAGCCTCTTTGATGTGGTTTATTGGTGCTTGTTGGACACTTCATTTCCAGTCAAACACTTGAGGTCGTCCTGTGGCTCAGGAGGCTGAAGTACATACAACACATTGACTATGATGTTCTGGAGCAAATCCAGATGTTCTATTACCCTGTGATTGCCTCTCAAACTCTACTGTTTTTACTCAATAAACCCAGAAATCAAATTCAGTTGTATGAATGTTGTTTTCCACGGAAAGAATAAACACACTTGTAATATCAGAAATTTCACAATAACTCTGTTGATAAATATTAATTGCACTTATTCAGGTCTGTGTCATTAAAATGTAATGTGATCTACTACTGATAAAGCTGCATTATCTAGGTTCTATAATGTTTCCTGGTATCTCATATCTCTATGTAAAGTTTTAATGAGTTTTTGATTACTGCCAGTTAAGTGTCACTGCAGAACAGATGCTGGACTTTGAGCCTATCAAAGACACATTTATTGAGTTCTCTACATGCTGGAGCAGTGAATTTGACACATAAACTATACACTTCAGTTCATATACTGTGGTCTTGATAGTTTTTCTTGACAAGTCCGGTACGTTCAGATGATAAGAACCTGTTTAGCTGAAGTGAAAGGCTTCATAGATGCTTCAAGAGCTTTGCTGTAGTCTCGCAGTCCCACCTCTGTGCAGGCAGGAGCCGTTAGCTTTCCCTGCTGGATGAGGGAGCACAGTTCATCTACCATGGCTCTAAATGCTCGTTCATCTAAGGAGAAAGTTAGTAGAGTTTCTCATGAAATTAATTTAAAAAGAATCATTTGGTATCATTATCTAGCAAAGAGGTACTTCCATGCTGACCCACCTTTGGAGTGATCTCTTTTCCACTGTGTGACCCAAAACCCCCGAACCTTCACATCCTTGAAAATAAGAGCGCTCTGGAATGACAAAGTTAAGTTAGTGTGCGAAGAAATCTTGTCACTGTGAAATGTGATGTTAACTATGAGGATACACAGTTTCATCTCACCACAGGGACAGTAACCGGCTGTTTGGCCATCCCTCCATATGTCACCATGCAGCCTCCGATCCTGGAATAAAATCAAATTAATAATTTGGCATTTCATGATCAGCTGTCTCTGCAGTGTAAGGTTATTACATCATATCAAAGTTTATTCAGCATCCTCACTGTAGATGACGGAGTAGTTCTGTTGCACTCTTGCCTCCGACTCCATTTAACGCCAGTTTTGGCTTTGGATATGTCTTTAAAAGAAACATAGTATATTCAGACTGTGTTTATGCACCGACAAGAACAACCACAGCAAAATAACATCATAAATAATATGTATGAAGTCGTCTTAGAGCCACAGACCTTGAAGAGTTCCTTCAACTCAGGCCGCCTCAGTGCCTCTTCTTTGATCACGTGAGTTGCTCCGATGGCCTTCAACCTATCACTGAGCTGTGTGAACTCTGGCCTTTGAAAGTGACACAATGAGAAGGTTCATTACAGTAGTGAAAAAAAACCCTCTCTGTTATTAGATTTCGAGCAGTATGACTGAGTTAACCTGTCTCGGACGACATTGATTGTGTTCACTCCTCTTGCAGCAGCAATCTGTATGACAGCCTGCCCGACTCCACTGTTAGCTGCATTCTGGATCACTGTGTCACCTGAAAATAGGGAAGTGTTCAAAATAAGTAGCTGTAATCAACATCTACTTCTGCTTCTCAGTAGAGTGCATACCTCGGCCAAGGCCCTACAGTCCCCTTATGAAACAAGATCAAGATCAATGTTCTTGAATAAATAATATTCTCTGAGAAATCAAAGGAAATGTGTATGTGTGACTAAAAAATAATGTGTGTGGATCTGTTAACCTGGCTTAAGATCTTCAAAGTCAGACAGCATCCTGAAGGCAGTGCAGGGGTTTACCCCCAGCGTGGCGGCAGACAGCAGGGGAATGTCATTTGGGAGCGAGATGACATCATCTTCAGCGAACACTGCCTCTGTCCTCCACATACCTGCTCATAAAAATAAGCACACAGTTAATGTTGGGGGACATAATTGGGACAGTGTGGTCTTGTAATCCAAACAGAAATTTACCTAGACCAGCATCTCTTGGGATGACCCAGTCTCCCATTTTGAGAGATGTGACCTGGCTGCCCACTTCTACGACTTGGGCCACACCTTCGTTGCCTCCAACAGCTGGGAGGTCAGGCAGGATGGCATAAGTACCTAGGGAACACTGTCAGATAAAATACTGATCTTCACAGCAAACAGAACATAAATGCTTTTTTTTTGTTTCTTATGTTCCTCTTGGTATATAGCTGCTTTTAAATTAGGCAATAATGAGTGTTGTTCTCTGGAGTGCATGTAACTATCTACTGGATTACCTTGAATCATGTTGATGTCAGATGGGTTGATGGGGGCTGCCAGGATTTTAACCAGGACATCCTTTGCACCTATGGGTGGCAGATCTATATCTTCCAACCTGGCAACCAGAAAAAAACTCAAAGTCTCTATCTGCCTTATGAATACATAAATCAAATTAAAATTAAAAAGGGAACAAAAATTCTGCTGAAATGTATCATGGACACTCATAAACTATTACATGATTATAGTCAACAACAGTATGAGAAGTATATTATTTATATGTTAACCTAACATTTATAGTCATAGATGAACCAAATAATAACAACAGGCACTAGTGCTGAAAAGATTGATTGATTTATTGATTAGATAATTAGTAAACAGAGAAATAATCCCCAAAAAGAAAAAACAAATACTTTTTTCAGCTTTAATTTAATTTGCAGCACTTCGTGACTATTTTATAAAAAAAATTGCAAAGTGATCATCACTGGGCTTCTAACTTTACAAAAAACAGTCATCAACACTATAAAATAAAACAAATTGTTTGTCAAAGCCCTCATCCAGATTTGATGAAGAAAAGCAGTAGGTCTCATCTTTGTTTCACATCGGGCAGTAATGGTTGAAGGGAACAAAATGCAGAAGGGAAACTGACCCTGTCAACACTTTTAGAAAACTGTAGTGACTTGGCTTGGTAACCGGAGGGTGGCCGGTTCAAGTCCAGCATGGACGGAAGCTGAAGTGGTGCCAGTTCACCTCCTGGGCACTGCCGAGGTGCCCTTGAGCAAGGCACCGAACCCCCCAATTGCTCCCCAGGCGCCTTCATGGCTGCCCACTGTTCCGTGTGTGGTCACTGTGTGGATTGTGTTCCGTGATGGGTTTAATACAGAGGTCAAATTTCCCCATGTTTGCATGTTGCATGCTGTGTGTGGGACCATAAAGAGGAATCGTAATCTTAAAAGACGAAAAGCAAAAAATAACATTAGAAAATAAGTAAGGAAAGAAATAAAGGAATATACATTATGTTTTAATCAACAACTGAGAGAAACAGTTTATTTTAGTTTTGTTTTCTTCCAATCGACTGCTCCATACTCCAGTCCTGAAGGTGGCGGTATTGCACCGACAAGCTAACCGCCAATAAACACCAGAAGAAGAAAGGAAGCGGTGACCCTAACCTGGACCAGCGACTCAAAGGTGAGAATAGTGTTTAACAGAAAAATTTAGAACAACTTTTTACAGGTTTAGAGAAAACACTCAAATGATGGCGACGAATTCGTTATTGAGACAAATGTGCGTTTGGTGAACCACCTGCTCCACAGACTTAATACAAACTCAGAATAAAAACTTAGAATTTAATTGAGTTTAAATTAAAACTTACTGAACGACTTGAGAAGGGTCCCCGTGTTTCCTGTACTGAAGAGCTGAGTGTTTTGCTGCTGAGTGGCTGAAGTGACAGGCGTTAGCATTAGCCGTTAGCTTTGGCAGAGCAGCGCCTCTCCTGCAGATCGTCCGGCTTCCGGAACAAACCGAGCGAAGCCGCGGCCACATCCCGACACACGTCACTTCACAACGGAAGAAAAACTAGCCCCACTACGCGGCGATATTCGTCATGAGAGCTGCGAGTGTTGCTAGCGCTCCTCTCACTGCGCGGCCATGTTGAATGAGGTTGTGTGATATAAACAGAGAACAGCGACCTCTGTGGAGAGACACGGTACTGCACCACTATGAGCTCTGTTTTGTACCAGGGGAAAAAAGAGGAATTGGTTCTGGAGATGTTTCTTCACTTCATGTTTTGGATTATTGTTGTGAAGTTCTCATATCCCTTTCAGTCAAATCAAAACAGAAACAAAAACAATTTCTCGACACATGGAAAAGCAAAAATAACAGTTGAATGAAATGTTTCACATTCATTTTTAACTATTACACAGATCCGCGTAGATACACCAAGTAAATACAGCTAACATAAAAAGTTACAATTAACATCAACATACATTTTCTTTATGAAAGAAAATTCTTCATTTAATTCCATCAAGAGTATTAATAGTTCCAAGAGTGCTGGAAGAATTGCTTTGCACACATAAAGTGGATGTGAATTCACATTTACTCACCTATTTACAGCAATTGATTTTTACTTAAAGCCTACTTAGATGAAAAAAATGTGTGCATATTTAATTCCATTGTGTGAAGTCCTGCATGAAAACATGTTTTAGTTTCTATTACTTCTGTGCTTGTACTTGAGAAAACTTGTATGAGTATTTTTATGTTGTATTATTGATTTTAAGTTAAAATTCCCAAAGTATTTCTTCATTGGCAAAACATAAAAGTGAGTGAGTTGAAAACAAATATGACAACATGACAAACACACATGGATATTGACATTTATTAGGAAATGGAGCAAATCTTTACACATAAACATAGTCACAGTAATACTTTGAAAAGCCTACATGCTGCTCATCATTGACAAACTAGCCATTAAATTGCCTGAGATCGAGGTAATTGTAGGTTTATGGCAGTAAACACTGATACATTTATCAGTAACAAATGCACGTTGGAAGTAGCTCAAGCCATTTACCTGATAAAATACAACACCACAAATTAAATGGCTGATGGTCACAAACAAGAAGTACTACGAAAAGCATGAGGTGCTGCAAACGATACCCTGAGCAGTCTTACAGGTTTTAGGATTTTTTAAAGGTATATCTAACCCATCTAACACCCGACAATCAAATCACAATAACACACCAATGAGGGGTCAAACAGGCTTGTTGCAATCAGAACGTCTTTCGTGGACTTCGGTTTTCAAATGATACATTGAAAACATCTACGTACAGCAGAATATTGCAAACATTACAATTCAACACTTTCATTCGACCTTTATCTTAATAGTGAATGTCGGAATCACAGACTAAGAGTTTAACAGATGAGGTATTGAGTAGATTCTAAAAAGATAAATGAAAACAAATGAACAGAAGTCATCTGTGTTTACCCCAAATGCAGAGACAAGAAAGTTCAATGTAATTATGCAGAACAATTTGAGTATTCAATCCAATCAGACCACTTGATTTAACAATCTTTCTGTCCTTTTTATATCCTGAGTAGAATTATCAAAACTATGTTTCCTTATGCTACCCTCTAAAAAATTGGAAAACATATGAACACAAACTAAAAGTGGAGTATGAAACAAGATCTGACTGTTAATTCGTCCATGACACATTCTTTTTGTCGAAAGCATTGATAGTCTGAAACACCAAGTATCGGCCATGTGTTGAGATGAGACAACCCCAGATTATATACTACTAGCCCCAATCCCTTTAACAATATTCTACTACATCCCCATCTACTACGATTATAGAGGAAAAATACTAATAGTGGAACATTTTCTTTATATCATATATCATATCATGGCATGTTATGTCAAATAAGAGAAAAATGTAAAGATCGTGTTGTGTGCATGGAAACAGTTTGTTTCACATTGTTAACTTTTTGTGGATAAAAAGAGAAGCTGTTGCACCATGACATTGAAAAGCAGACACTACTAAGCCCTTTTTTCTGTGGCTCCCTTGTCCTGTGTTTCACATCATGAGCAATTAACTGTGATTCTGTCCTGAATAAACACTCCGACTCTTTCTAATCAATCTGAAGCATTCCCTGAGTTTTCAGACCGGCATTTCCTGAGATGAGACAAAGAGTGGAGGTTTTTTATTTTTCCTAACCAGCAACAGACTGTGTGAGGTATATGAAAATCTAAATAATAAAGTATAAAATATGAAATATATATATATTCAAAAGACCGTAAACTGAATATATAAAAAAAGAAATGAATGCATCTTACACATGATTAGTGCAGAGTAACATTGCATTGGCTTTGGCATAGATAGGAGTAACACTGTGCCTCTCTTCTGAAAGACTCATTGTGCACAAAAAAATAGAAAATAGAAAAAAATAAATCATACAAGCCAGAGGAAATCAAAGAAACACAGTTAAAGTCAACCCTCATAATACTTTGTACCTGTACAGTATGTGCTGCATATTGTTACTCTCTTTTATTGCAATATTACCGTTTCACTGTGTTCATACTGCATTGGATTATTAAGGACAATGATTTATTAAGCACACATGTACAAAGCAACATGAGTACCATGATGGTAAAAAGATATTTGAAGCTTTGAATGACATTTGGCAGTTTTCTGATGTCTAATCAAACATTCATTGCTGAGAGGCTTCGACAGGAGCCGGAGAAGCTGCAGCACTCATGGATGAAAATAAATAAGTAGAATGTTTTTTTTTTTCTTAAAAAAGCTTTAGAATAATTTTACATATATATTAATTGGGTGTAAAAGTCTCGTCAGCTTCTCCTGTAAAATGGGAGTAAAATGCTGATTAGCTAGCTATCTCTACATGCTCCTCCGCACAGGTTCGATGTTCCTGAACTATCACCCTACTAAGGGTCATAGGGAGGTAATGTCTTAAATAACTACCTAGAAATGGATCACACTGGATATAAACAAAAACACCAGCCATCCCACTGGCAACATCATGTCTGATTCTGCCTCATTTTATTCAAGTATCAAGAGGAGAGCTAGTTGGACATCTCACTAACTCAGTCCAGGTCAAGTATCTTTTTAGAAGTTATGTTGTACATGTATAGAGTTAAGTTTCACAGTTGGAATTCTATCAAATCCAAGTTGAGGTAATATAGCAGCAGCCCTTAACACAGCAGCCATTAAATGAAAATATATTGTTGATAGAAAGTTCATCATCGTAATGCTTCCAGCTCCCTGAAAGGTTGAAGAGTCATTTAACACCAGATTGAAAAGCAGCATTTGCTTCCTCTGGTTGTAACTTCAACTGCACCCGGTCTAATTATCATGTTTTCTCAACAAAATAGTGTGGACAGCATGTTTTCCTACGATGTAGCATGGAGCGATGGCACCACACAACATCACGTTCCCTAGGACAACAGACAAAACCCAACCACACTTCAAGTGGCCAGTATACTCCATCCAAATGGCCTGTTGGATTGTCGAAAAACACTCATATCTACCAACATTTCCGACGTCAGGGTTGGATGTCCAATTTTGACAATTTCCGAAACTGACAGCCAACTGAGCAGGTGAGCTACATGATAAAGTTTGCTAAAGGACGTGACTCAGTAATGAAATGTCCAGCAATGTGTCTGGACTTTATCCCAACTTTTTTTTGTCTCAGACATTTGCAGATATTATCCAGAGTTCAGAACATGTCTGAAAACTGAGATGTTCAACCACTAGATGTCAGCAAGAGCAAGATTTTCATGAATTTCTAAATCACTCTAACGTCAGATATATTACAACTAATGACAATCATGTGTAAATACTGTAGTGCAAAATGATTTGATTTAATTCCAATTCACATCTCAAACATCCAAAGCTGTGTTGTGAGAATATTTGGTTTGCCATTAGGATGATACTTTTAGTAGCAGACCAAACATGCACCAATGAGGTAAACAGTGCACCTTTCAGACAGACAGCAAAACGCTGGATTAAAATAATGAAATGACAAAACAAAACTGACCAAAAGCTGAAAACCTCTTCTGGTCTGACATTCATTTGGCCCCAGCAAAACTGGATGGTCAACTGCAATATTGGCCGATGCCAATACATTGCCTGTAGCTTTACCCTAAAACCCATCCCATGTGTTTTCATAAACCCTCCCCATTTCCCATGCGATATGCAAGCTAACATTCATTACAGAGGTACTAACGGTCACATCTCTGCCTTGTCGGATAGTGAGGTGTAACAGTCAGGAAGAAGACTAAAGGGTAAGGCGGCAAAAGTGTAGCTCCATACTAAACACTGAGTATTACGCAAAAAACAAGGAGGTATAATGCCCACAGGAGAGGCACAATATTACAAAAAACAATGAAGGTTCTACAAAGACTCATTAAGATATTCTGTTATATGGCATTACTCACTACAATCTCAATGCCCTCCAAAAAAAACAGCAGTGATTCATACATTTAGAAAGCGTTCTGAGTGCAATAATACAGCAGTATTCCTGAGTGTTACACCAAATGATATAAAAACAAAACAAAAAACTTCAGCAACATTTTCTATGAGTATTTTTTTAAACCTGAGGTAGTTCCAAAAGCAGCTTCGACAACTGGAAAGGGGGTCGTTCATTTCCCGTCCCTCCATCAAAGCAGTTTGATTGGCCTCTGTGCTTCCCCGGCGTCAGTGTTGCCCGATACCTGCATTTAATCGGAGGTCTCGGGAGGCAGTGCCGAGGGGCTGTGCTCCTCCTCATCTCCTATCAAGGAGGACGGTTTTCCCTGAGAACCAGGCGAGGACTGTTGTGCTTTGATTGGGCAATTGGCAACCATGTGGTCGATGCTCTGGCAGAAATGGCACTTCTTGGGCTGGGGTGGTAGCTTGCACTCTTTGGCATGGTGGTCTAGGCCTCCGCAGTTGTAGCACCTACAAGAGCAGATTGAATTTAGTCAGATGTCATGTGTGCCTAAACCCTCAATTATATTTTTAGCACTTGGGGGAAGTAAGCTTCAATCAACACTATGTCATATCGTAAACATTTGAGTTGATATGAAACCAACAGTTGCTACTTGCACATCTAGTACTTTAATGTTTTGCATTAATCTGGAGAAATCTCCATTCAAAATAATCTCTGTTTTGTGTCATCTTAAACCTGAGGTAGATATCTGGGTTTTAAGCTTAACATGTTAATTTCTGAAAATGGATCTCATACTTCATCATCATGTTCAGCAATGCTTTAATATCCAAATGAAGTTGACTTTAAGTTGCACTTCTTTGCCACAAGATGGCGTCCTTACACACAGGAACGATTTGAGTTTACAATTGGATGTAAATCTTGTGAGGGCATTCCAGGTCACACAACATCAGTCTTTGAGCCTTTCCACAAACTGTCATTATTTTATTAAATGGTTAAAAATGAATTTAAAATAAAAAATTTCATATTAGGAAGCGTTTAGGGCAAGACGGAGATTTTGAAAGAGTTGAATATTTAAGCAAACTACAGACTTAAAGTAGCGGTGCTCAAGTGTTTCCATGCACCTGGTATGGTAACCATGGCACATTATCCAAACTATTGTGAACAGCTTGTCCTATTTGTCCGTTTGTCACTGCCAAAAGCTTTCCATTGGACTCTATTGTGCAAAACATCCGTTTCATCAGCATTGAACTTTAGAAATCAACATCATGAGGGGTCAGCGGGAGCCATCGGGGTCCCATTGGCCACCTCTGTTTAAACATATTCTATAGAATGGCCACGCGTGCAGGGGCGGGAGACAGATGGGTGGTGGGCGTTGGATGGTTGGTGTGTGCCACTGACTGTGGACACCCCCCAACCCCCCTAACAGCACCGCATCAGCAGATGAAGTTTGGACAGGGAGGGTGTCGAGCACCTCTGTAGCTGCTGCCTAAGGGTTGGTGTCAAGGTCTGTGCTGTTACTTCACAGAAGCTCCAAACATCAGCATCCATCAGGAGGCAAGTGGAGGTAAAGGGAAGTGGCCCCTTTGTCTAAAAAAGCTGCAGTAATGACCTCTGAACCCTGACCCCCCCCTTCCTCACACACACTCCTCAGTCCTCTAACCCCCAATCTCATCCCAGCCCCCAGCCCTCTTGCATTTACTCATACACTGTTGGCATGACAACAGTGACCTTTCACCCCCTCGCCCAGGCTCTTGCATCTGTTATCAATTAAATGGACAGGAGGTTTTTTCCCCTCCCTCAGTCATATAGCCGACTCCAGTGGCCAGACCTGAGCTCAAAACTAAGGAGTGGAATCAAACATGATAATCATTCCTCCTATCGCCAATATATCAAATTATTGGCTATAAACGTGATCAACCAATCAAACATTAACACATGAAACACATGTGTTGCATGATGAAAATTGCTAGAGGGGGAGCAATATCTTATCCATGGATCAGTGTGGTCTTGAGAGAGTTATTGAACCACAGCAGGCCTCCCAGGACTCTTTGAGGCAGTAGTGATCTCTGTTCTCACACTGACTACTCTCTGGCTCTAATCACAACTGACAGGGGGGTGAAGTTGATACACCTCTAACCCCGCGCTACTGATATTCAAAGAATGACCCCCCCCCCCCCCCCCAAAAAAAAATCAAGGCCCCCTTAGCTCTTTTTCCCCTTTCACTCAGAGGAACATTTTTCCTTTGCACGAATCCTTTTTAGAAGACATGTTTGTAGAGTATAGATAATATGTATTTACAGACTTTTTGCTTTTGTAACTTTCACAGCACCTGGACCCAGGAAATTATATCCTAATTTTAAATAATTGTGGAAATGTCTGCGGTTTGGTTTTTATCAACAAACTCACAAAGTTGCATGTTTTTCTGCACCTAAATAAATCACTAGTGTTGGAGACAAATACATTGGTAGAAGAGGTTTAGGAAGAGAGAGAGTGTCATTGGGTGTGAATTCACTTGGGGCCCAGCAGATTTAAACAGTTATTGATCCAGGTCACACATCAAGCCTGCTGGTGTGACCCTTGCTGGGGCTGGAGATGGGGGTTGAGGAAGGGGAAGGAAAATGGGGAGAAACTAAAACACCATTGTATATCTGATCCAAAGTGGACACAACAATGGCTGATTGTTTACTGTTGAATAATAGATGGTTTTCACTGAACAGTAGCAATTTATAATATATATAATATTAGCCTCGCCTAGTTTACAAAAACTGCATTTATACACTGGTCAGCCACAACATTAAAATAAAACAGATGGGTTTAAATTCTGGAGGGAACGTTTTAATTGACTAACATTAATGAAAAGCAGCCTTGAGTTTTGGAATACATTATTTAAGAGATTTTTCTTTTTCACAAATTCCTTTTGGTGTTTTGTCTGAATTAAAACACGCTTGTTTATATTCATTGTGGTTTCTACCTAAAATCTCCCATCGGTGTTGACTTGGGTTGAAGTCATGAAAGATGGATTGACGAAGCCTTGTTGAAGCTTTGACACTTTCAAGCTGACTGTGACGAAGATAGTCACTGAGGATAAATATACACATTGTCTCCACAAACATAACATCGAAATATTTCCATTCTGAAAATAATATTGGCTCCGTCTCAACACAGCTATACCATTCATTGTCGTTCCTCCTAAAGAGGCAAAAATGAAGATGTCCTTTTACTTTTTTCTACCATTTCATCATGGCTTACCTGTCTCCCTTTGAACGGCGTTTCTGGAGCTTCTTCCCCTTGGGTCTCCGCTCGCTGCCCACACAGTGGATGCCGTCTGGTCCTGTGACTCGCTGAGACTCCAGGCCCTTGGATGACTTCTTGAAGGTAAACTCGACTGCCTCGCCTTCCTTCAGGCTGCGGAAGCCTTCCATGTGCAACTTGCTCTGAAGGGGAACAGGGGACCAGGATTCAGCATCCATGTTACCGTTTGTGAAACTTGTGAAACAGGTGAGACAGAAAATGTCTTATCACAAATGTCACATATTGCAGATATACCCCATATAGTGATGAGTATAACTCCAAATTGAGTAAGTGGAGACTCTGACCCTTGAGAACAACCCCCCACCCATTCTCCACTGTCTGATAGCTCTTATCAGGTGCCTGGTATTTTAAGGTGATGAATAGACAAACACTACAAAGCTTGCTGTTCCCAGCTTGAGCTCACTCAGCCCTGCACCATCGCCTTGATGCTGCTTTGTCTTTTTTGCCGTGTTTGAGAGGTAAAGCTGATGAGGATAACCTTCAACCCATCCCCCCCTCCAGAGGAACGGCATTCCACACGGCCTCCCCCACCCCCATCCCTCTTCCCACCCACATCACATAGCTCGAACACACTGACCATCGCCACTAACCCTAAACTGCAGGATGCAGGGGTTAGCGACGGGGGTTGGGTGAGAAGGCAGCAGGGCTTCTCTGTGAGGTTGGGGGGGGGGGGGGTCAGGGAGACATTCCTTGGATAGTTGTTTGGCAAAGAGACATTAAAGGAAAAGTTGAGGGAAAAGCATCCTGCTTAACTGCTTATTCATTCAATGTTACGTGATGTTACCTTTCAGAGGGTCCCTCTTGATATGCTCATCTTTTCTAATTGCCAATGAAAGGAAAGGGCAGTGATGGAAATGAGAGTGAGGTGTGGTTTTAAAGATAAACCCTCAAAACTAGCCTAACATGGAATACCCCTCTCTAAAATTCCCTCAGCAGGGCAGAGATTAAATTATCACAGCCGTAGCAGGTTAGTTTTGATAGAAATGAATCCCTTTTCTTTACGGTCTGCCAAAACCACCAGGAATCAAACAGAGCTCCTCAAAGCACATGGTTTAGTTGTGAGGAAAGTCTGTGATCTGTCTACGTCAAAACTCAATGTTTATCTTGGAATCATTACAAACATAGCTAGTGGTTCTTGAGCATTAAAACCTAACAACACCTTCATTTGTGCAAGCATTCCGGCCCTGAACTTTTCTTGACTCCAGCAGAGGAGCCGTTTGTAAGAATGCAAATTTCTGAACCAGTTCAACCAGACTTTACTTTGCCAGCTCCTAACTAACTAACTAAGGGCCCATGTGTGAATAGAGCTGGTCATTGTCTTGGGAATTTACATTAATGGAGCTAGTGGTTGAGAATATTAGATTTGTATTGTTTCTCCTGAACTTGTTCTATCCAGGCACCAACTCTTGCCTTAACCTAACTGAGTGCTTCTAGTTGGGAGGAAAGAGTTGCACACAGACTATCTCCGGTTGTATTGGTGTAACTCCAGTGATGTGCTTCCCCAAACACTGTTCATATGTGAAAACAGATTCATGGTTTCTGCTTCTCCTGATGAGAGAGGGAACACAATTGATGAGCCATGACATTAGAGTGGCAGCATGGACATCCTCAGAGCACCACTACAATCAGGCCTCTCTACCCTGATGACCGTTAACCCACTTCCTCTCCGATGTGACCTTCCCCACCCCCATAACGGACTCTCACCAGCCACATGCCCACATTAGGTTATTAACACACACACACATGCAGGTAGTGGATCTGAGTGGGGCCTTTCAAACTTGGGCGTACAGCATGATGTTGAGGCGTTATTACTGGGTCTACTGTAACCTCTGTCCAGAAAGTGTTGGGAGAGCACAGTGAGGCAAAGAAAGACATCAGAGCAGCGAGGGACAATAGCAGGGGTGCTGCCTCCACAAAGAGGGCCTCAGTCACGGCCGAGGGGTGCTTCATTTGGATGCATGGCTCTATTGTCCACCTGCACAAAGGCTGGCGGACCTTGGGAGTTAATTTTCCCTGACACGCGGCCACTAATTTCAGGGCTGAGGCCTCTTACGTTGCCATAACCCCTTTACATCCATCATTGACACACGTGTCTAACATTTCCAGCGACAGAGAGGGAAGTTAAGTCATTGGTTACCACATGGATGAAACAAGACTACCACAGTGAGGCTGTTGCTTAAGCAAAGATGTGATGATGGAGCAGTAATCAATTTGTTTTCATGACATGGTTAGGTGTTAGGGTTTTGCCGATTGATTTGAGTTTTTAAGCAGCATGCCATTAAACCTCAAGTGACACCAAACCTAAATTTCCAACCACAGGTGAAGTAATATTTTATTTAGCAAAATATCTGATCGACCCATGTTTCGTAACAACTGTTCCTCAAAGCAATCAAATCTCTTATATGCATCAGTATGAACAGTAAACACTTGGGATGGTGTGGGAACATGCAAACTAATGAGAATAAACTCATAAGTTTAACAGAGCTCCTTTGTGTGGAAATTACGGGCTAAAGTTAAATCTCTCAAATGTAAAATTTCCCCACAGTCGGTGGTCTTGGAGGGTGGTGACATGCTGGTGAGTGGACAAGGAAAATCACCTCAATTCAAAGCCTGAGATCCCCCCCTGTGCTCTTTCAAGCTTTTATAACATGCAGCCACACAAGAGCTCTTAATCACTTTACGACAGGAACCTTGAGGTGAATGAGCAGCGAGTGGAGTCTCCTCTCATTCACATGCAAAGTCTTTATCTTATCAGACAGCGATGGAGGCGAGAAGGAGGGGAGGCACACCCCCGTCTCCCTCACAGCCCTATACACCTCCCTCTTCACCATCACTGTTTTTGTTTAAATCTGGTAGAAGTTAGGATAAGAAAAACTCAAGAAGTTTGTGGACTCTAAAACTACATTTATCTAAAGGGTGGCCATTTTAAAAAGCTTTCATATACTTGTGTTATATAAATATAGGTTAGACAACTGTTTTGTTTTATGCCTAAATTCCACACAAAGCATTGATTATGAGATGTTGTATAATTAATATTTTAACTATAAAAAAAAAATCTCAATTGCCTTAATTATATTGTAAAATGTGCATTAAGGCAAATCTATAAGCCAACAATAAAATATTGTCAATCAGAAGATTGCACTCTATGTGGTTCTTTACCCCAAAACATTACCTTTTTTCCCGGCCCTCAGTAAAAACAGAAGTCTTATATCAGTATATATAAAGCAGTTGTTTTGTATTAAACCTAAATACCACATAAAGCATTGAATATGAAAAGTGGCTGTGTTTAAAAGGCATACTCTAATATTTTAATAGAGGAACTACACTGTTTATATTATGAAATTTTCATTAAGGTAAAACTATAAACCCCACATAATTAATTTGTGAATTTTAGTTGATTTTAAGCAGCTTTTTGTGCATCACCCGCATTGATATGTGACAAAATCCACCCATTATACTCTAGAGTGAGTATTGACGGTTCACGTCTCCTCTTCTTTAAGGGAGCAGATTTCATGCAGCTCACACAGGACGCGCTATGATCCATGGATGCATCTTTTACGCATCGATGTCTGCTTGAAGAAATGTGCAAGCTCTCACATGCACTCTGCAGTTCACTGCATTGCACGAAAAACCACGAGGGAGGCACGCTGCTCCCCTGAGGGAAAAGCACCACCATGCTCGCTGCTGCATTTTAAACCCTGAATCTAAAACAGTTAAATAAAGGGATCGATTTTGTCTTAACTTTCAAATATTGCATATAAAAACTCCTCAGTACATTTTATTGTCATACATTTATTCTCATGCAGGTTAATGAGTCATTGCAGCTTGTTGGAAAAATAAATCCAGCTGCATTGGAAACAGGTGATGATGATCACATGCTGGGAAGAAATGTATTTCACCTGCTGCAACATGTTTTGGCAGATTTGGTTTGTAGCCGTGTTAAATGTTTGGTTACAACTTCCAGCCCATGACTTGCTGATCCTGCTCATCCTACCTGATGGACGAAGACATCGACCGGCTCCTCCAGTGGCACTCCCTCCCGGGTGTTCATGGACAGGAACCCGAAGCCCATGCGGACATTGAACCATTTGCACTGGCCGACGCCGTGGAAAGGCTGTGAGTCCTCCTCGGTGCTCGGTCCCTCATCTTCCTCAGTCTTACACACTCCTGCAGAGGGAAAGTGTGCGTAAAGTTAACTCTAAACGAAAGGATGCATCAGAAGCATGTGGTCTGTAAAACAACAAACTTGTCTTAAGTTTCAAAAGGCCGAAAAAGTATCTTCTGTTTTTTTCCGTTGCCACATCACTAATCAATACAGATCGATTGAATGAAGACACAAATAAGAAGCGCATCGGCTGCGTTTTTCGCTTAATTTCGATTAAAGTGGTTCAGAAAAGCAGCAATAGAGCAAATATCCCCCTCTCAAGATTCTGCAAAATAACTCATCTTGATTTTTACATGATTGCCTGATTTCTTGAAAAGCATTTTAAGCGTTGACTATGCATTTTAGATCACGTGTGTGAACAATACAAGAGGGGGAAAAAACTGGCATCACAGAAAAATGCTTAATTATCTTATTTTTAAAGCAGCTTATTTCGTTACTCCACCTGGGAATTCCTGGTTAGAAACGGAGCCCATGTCTTCACCTCAGCCTAGAGTCAAAATTAGCACCCAAGCTACAGTATCCTTTTTTTAAATTGAACCCTGGAGCTGGGTAATCCTCACAGATTGCCACTTTCATGCAAAATGCGGTAGAGAGCAGACGCTGCGCCGCGAGAAGGAAAGCGGGAGAGGGGGTAAACAAAAGAGGGCTGGCAACCTATCCCCCTAAACAATGAGGGGTGGGGGGTCAGATTTTTTTTTTTTTGGTGAAGATCACCCCCTCCACAAAAAAAAAAGAACTTTAAGACAATGCAAGGAAACCCAGCCCCTCACAGAAACCACTTCAACCATTCCCCCTCCCCAAAAAGAAGACTCCCAGCATACCTTCTGCCATGTTGCAGGGCCAGTCTGCTCCCAGTGTGCACCGCTGCCGTGTCCCTCTTTGTGGACTGACTCTCTCTCCTGCAGTGGTCAGAGCTGCTGGTCACTAAAATGACCATTTCCAATCCAACAAACCCCCCACACTCACTCCCCTCGGTCACGTCCACGTGATTCACAATTACACAATCCCCAAGGAGCCGGATTGCATCATGGAAAGGGCCCCGAATGTGAGAAGTCACCAATCACCTCCAAGGAGAAATTTTCTGTTGAATCCTGAATTCTGTTCAAATAAAATGAACACATGTGTCTGTGTATGATGTCATGGTGTGTGGGTGTTTTACCTGCAGGACTGGACACTGAGGTTATTCCTGCACAAAACAAGATAAACCTGCTTTTCCTCCAATAAATACTATGCAAATAAAAATAAGTAAAATGTGAGAGTAAGAGTGCCTGGTTTAAAACATCCAATTCAAAATGTCTTTAAGAATTCATTTAAGGATTATTTATTTCAAAATACTGCATGTTATTTCTTATTTCTTCTCATGGTGTGTGTCTTCTCCTCCTTGTTGTTAGTGTTGGTAGCTGCTGTCCTAACACACCAGAGAAAGGTTTGTAATGGTAATCAACATGAAGCATAGAGGGGGAAGGGTTTTCACTCTTCTTCTTTCCAGAAAGAGGAAGTGCAGCTAAACTCAAACCTTCGAGGTGATTAGCTGAAAAAGTGAAGGAGGAAAAACACAGAAAGCCTTCTTGAGCTAAACTATGACACGAAACGGATTTAAAGAAAAGAGAAGAGAGAAAACAATATGGCAGCATGAAAACAAGCCTGGCTGGTCAAACGAATTCACGGATCAATAGTGATTGATCACGTCATGTTAAAATGTTGACTCGTGTCCTTGTGGGATGATGGATGGATCGAGGACACAGGAAAGTGATCTTATAACCGAGTCCAACGTCAAATGTAGTCCATGTATAAAAAAAACATTATTTATAGCCTAATTCATTGAATAATAATGTAGAATTTTAGAAACATAGCAGCATAAAACATCATTAAATCTAAAATAAAGAAGGCCCGAATATCAAATAGGCGATATATAATTTTTATTTTTTTTATTTGCACGTTTAACAAATGAAAGAATAGCTATAGGCTGATTTATTGGTTGAATTAGTTGTTTTCGTGCAGATTAATGATCTGAACGATTTACTGGATTGTGCGAGCGGAGGCTCCAGCTCCACCTCCTCCAATTGATGTCAGAGGTGACCTGTCGATTCCCGCACCACTTCTACAACGACCCCTTGTGGATCCCAAACCTGACAACTGGCACAGTTAAAGACCCATAGTTATAGAAATGATTACATCACAGATCAGAGAGTGAAAGTGATTCAAAATGGTGCGTTCAAGAAAGAAAAAACAGAAAAACCTGCGCCCAGAGAGATGTAGACCTTCAAGATAAGAAATCTGATTAATAAATGAAGCAAAAATTCCATTCAATCAATTTACCTGTTAAACTATTTAAACTGAGCCTATACAGTCACGTCTTTGCTTTTTTTCTTGTATATTAATAGTTTTGACTTGGTTATGATTTCTATTTTTGATTTGATTGGAAAATTAGATGTCATTGTGTGATACAGATATGGACAATGATATTACAGATTGGAGAAGGAATTTTTTCCATCTGTGATATTTTTTTTAATCTAAAAGTGATATTCCTGTAGTTTATTTGGGATTTTTGAAGTTGAATAATATGCATATCCCTAATTTATTAAACAATTAAGGCATTTCCCACATTTATTGAACAACAAAATAAATGTAGTTTTGTAAGATGAGAATTTCATACTAACTTTATCAACATCTCAAAACTCAATGTACCCACAATTTTACAAAAAGTTTGACTGTAATGAGAAAGAATATTTTCTTGACTAATAACTGTAAATTGAGATGTTGTAGATTAATTTAAAACTGGACAACAATGACATTTTTAAAACCCAGGCTGCACGGGGCCACCTGCCTCTGCTCAGACTAAACCTGTTAGTGGACGAGGAAAACAATCTAATGAGGTGTCAGCAGTCACATCGTTTCCTGTGGAGAAGGTCAGAGCCTTAAGTGCTGCCTCATATTATCTTGGCCGGAAGCCAAGGTGTTTGGATATCCAGCCAATGGACTACAAAGATGGTGGCATCTTATTCTGACTTTACTGAAAACCCAAAGGCAGCAAGGTAAAACTGCCGTGTGTTCTATAAAATGACCACTAGATGTCAGTATATCACCGAATTCCCTGTTCACAGCGAATCAGACGCTGGAGTTTATGACATTTTAATTAAATGAGGATATTAGATAGGGATCTGGCTTCTGATACAAACAATCAAAGTATATCCTACCACCCAAATTAATCTTTGTGGTTGTTGTTTTTTAAAAAAAAATAAAAGTCTTGGGTCGTGATCTTGCAGAATCCACAATATGAAGTAAGGAACAAGAACCAACCAACTACTGGAGGCTGTAATCCTTCACTCAGCATGTGGACTCCGGTCATGTGCCCAGTAGGTGGATGGATCAGATCCTGGGCGGGACAAACAACCAGCTGGAGGCGCTGGACACTTCGGTGCAGATCAGTGCTGGTTCAGGACGTTTCCAGCAGGAGCAGAGCAGAGGACGCACAGAGCTCATGTTCCACGATGAAGCTGTAGAACAAGTTAAAGTTAAAACCCCCACAGCGAACTGCGTCAAGTAGTCTGCTGCTGCAGGACTGCAACCATGTAGAGACTTTTTGGTTGAACTCAGAGGGACGTGCACGTGAGGAGAAGCTCGCAGGTTTGTGAGGTGAACTCTCGGTGCAGGACAAACTCAGAGGTATATCTGCGCTCGAACATGGCTCGGCTCCGGAGGAAAGCGTGCATCGCCCTGTTCCTCTTTACGCTTTTCATCTTTGGGACCATGATGGGACTGAGGACCCTGAAGCCCCCCAGCGACGGTTTCTCGGATCTGGCTCCGGGCTTGGAGCTCCTGCCGATGTTCGCTGGGAAGGTGGACCGGCGCTCCGTGTCCCGTGACACCACCGCCTCCCCGGGTCAAGCCCGCCCGGCTAGTAGCATCACCAAAGCGGTTCTGTCCAACTCCGGACCCGAGGGGACCATATTCTACGATGTTCACATTTTCTACTACAGCTGTTACGGCAACCCACAAATGGACGGCAAGTACATCCACTGGGACCACATCCTGTTGCCGCACTGGGACCCCAAAATCGCATCCAGCTACCCGAGAGGGAGACACATGCCGCCCGAAGACATCGGCTCCAGCTTCTACCCCGAGCTCAACCCGTACAGCTCCAGGGACCCGGACGTGCTGGAGTCCCACATGGAGCAGATCGGAGCGTCTGCAGCAGGTACAGCTCACAGATGCATGTAGGAACAGAGTGACCCTGCAGAGAGAAGAGCTGCACAGAAACCTGGATCCGAAATAAGCTGCCTCTTTTCAGCACCACACTTCCAGTGGACAGCTCCTCTCACTGACCCTGAAACAGACAGAGAAGTGACTTTAGGACTATTAT